AAGCTATTATTATTACATTAATATTAATTATATATAACCTTAAGAAACCTATTATTGTTGAAATAAATGCTTTAAACTATGTAATTGGAGGAGTCTTTAGTTAATGAGATGAAAAAGGAAAATTATATTTTATTGCTTTTTTTTTAAAAAAACTTTACGGATTTAAACTTTAATATTTTATGTATAACTAAAAACTAATAGTTATATTTAAAGCATTTAAAAAATAGAGGTTATATTTATTAAGAAATGAATATAAGATTACTATATATTTAGACTATAAAAATCTTATAAGTCTTGCAATAAAAAAAATAGATATCTTTATACAGTAAGAAAAGTATTTAAGGCTTATAGCTAAATACGATTTTGAGATTATACTCTGTAAAGGATTAGAAAATAGTTGCGTAAATACTTTTAGCTGTAAAAAAAACTACTTTAAACTAATATTAAAACTTACTTTACTAATATTTAAAAAAATAATAAAAAGACACTATAAATTAATATTATTAAATACATTTTTCACTGTTAAAAAAAGTAATCCTATCTTTAATAAAATAAAAGATATTATTAAAAATTAAACATTAGAATAATTTCTTAATAAAGTAACCCTTAAGAAAGGACTACTATACTGAAATTAGAAAATTTAAGTACTGGAAGAACTATAAAAAGAAATAGTTAAATTAGTCTATAAGCATCTACTATATAGACATAAAGGAATTAGAAAAATAATATAATAAATATAATAATACTATGTATTTTAAAAAATAAAGAAAATTATTAAAGAAATAGTTAACTACTGTATAATATATACTAAAACAAAGGTAAATTAACACTTACCCTACAGTAAACTTTAACTACTACCAGTACTACTATAACTATAGGACTTAATTTCCTTTAACTATATCGTTAAACTACCAGTATTAAAAGAACCTATAATAAAAGTTAAATTTAATAGTATCTTTATAATAGTTAACCGACTAATAAAAATAACGCTTTTCATCCCCTATATTAAAGGAAACACTGCTGAAAAACTAGTGTATATACTACAGAAGTATATTACAGTAAATCACAGACTACTAAAAGAAATTATTTTTAACAGAGGATCTACGTTTATATCCAAATATTAGTAAAGCCTAATAGTAAAAATAAAAATAAACTATAAAGCTAGTATAGCTTACTATCTGTAAATAGATAGATAAATAGAAAAAATTAACTAAATTATTAAAGTATATTTATAATATTATATTAATTTTAAGTAAAACGATTGGGTAAAAAGACTATTAATAGTATAATTCTCTTATAACAGTATACCCTTAAAGTCTATAGAATACTTACTATTTTACATAAACTATAGATTTAAACCTAACGTTTATAGACTACTAAGGAAGGGAGAAAATATAAAATTAGTAATTATTTAGGTAGATAACCTAAAAAAACTCTACGATAAACTATAAGTCTAGCTTAAATTTATTAAGGAATAAATGGCTAAATATACTGATGAATTAAAGTTTAAGAGACTAAACCTTTAGGAGGGGGATATAGTTTACCTTTACTAATACACCTATAGTAAAAAAAAAGCTAATATTAAAATAAATCGGCTAAACGATAAGCTTAACTTTAAAAAGTTTAAATTATATAAAATTTTAAAGAAAATCGGAGAAAATAATTATAAACTAGACCTTTTTAAATAATAAAGAAAACGCAGAAAACTAATATATTTAATATTTTATATCTTACTATTAAAAAAAGCATTAATAGATAAAGAAACCGGAGAATTTATTAAAGATAAAATTGTTATTAAAGGTAAAGAACTTAAATATAAAGTTAATAAAATAATATTACTAAAAATAAATAAAAATAATAATAAACTTTAATATTTAATGGAATAGAAAAATTATAACTAAAACACTAACAGCTGGGAACCTAAAGAAAGCTTTATGTATTCCTAGGTAATCCTAAATGAGTTTTAGAAGAAGATCTACTAGAAGCTAAGGGTATAATACCTTTAGGCCGCAGATATTTATTAAAAAAGCTTAAATTAAAAACATTAACTGCATTAATGGATTAAGTGTTTAAGACAGCGTTAGACTTCTGCTATATAATACTATCCTAGGCATTTAATAACTCTATACTATGTAAAAATACCTTATTACTATAATCCTTAACCTTTTACTTTAATTTATAAATACACTGTAAACGGGCTAAAGCCTTAAAAGCCTAGCGTTAGCATTTAGCTAATTGCTCAGCCACTTTATACTTTTACTTATTATACTTTTTATAATCCCACTGCAATTATATAACTAAAATAACGTTAGAACGTAGAAAATAAAAATAATAAAGAACATTTATAAAAAGATACTATAGTATTACTATTATATATTTTCTTTATTTTAATATATTAATTACAGCGAATTAAATAAATACTATATTTATATTTATAAGCTATACCCACTGAAGAATAATGGGAATATAGTATTGCTGTAACTTCTGTAGCTTTAGTCTAAATACTTAACTTTTTTTAATTTTAATTAGCTTATTTTTTATTAAGCTTAGGGTAAGGTGTTATATGTATTTAATGTTTAGTGCATTTCCCTATGGGCATTTTATTAGTATAATAAATATAAAGGGAAAAATAGAATAAATTATAATATATAGATAAATAGGTAAATAAAGAAGTTATATATTAAGGAATAATTATAATTATACACTAATGTAAGGGTACTAGGGGCTTTATAACTGGCCTTAAGGATAAAACTAACAGAAGGGGGATATTGTATTATAACCTAACATTTTATAGCTGCAACAGAAGGTATATACCTTAGAAAAAAGATGGGCTAAGCGATCTATTAGAATAAAATTAACATAAATCAACCGTTAACTAAAAGCGACCTAGTATAAGTTAACGAAAGTTAACCGTTAACCTTAGTTAACTAAAATATATTTAACTAAATATATAACATTTACTTCTTTACGTTTATTTAAAATAGTTAAATAGCTAGTTATAAATATAATGTTTAAATTAAATTTACTTAATACTTTCTATTAGTTAGTGATATTATTATTTATATTACTTAAACGTCCAGCCTAGCCTATCCGCTAATATAAACCAGAATCTAGGTTTGTCCTTTGGAAATCCTAACCTATACTAACCTATAGGTTTACGGTTCGTCATATATTATAAATGAGAAAAGGTAAAAGAAAAACGCCTACGATAAACACTTAACATAATATAAAAAGACCTATGAGAACTTAACTCTGCGCTTAAATAAGCTAAAGTTAGGATAATAAATAATAATAAAAACCCTTTAGAAAAACAGCTATTTAAGGTTCTAACTATCTACTACCAATTTAAAAAAGCATTTCGTAAAAATCTTAAAACTGGATTACTAGAATATAGTAAATGGGACTATTAAATCGATTTAATTAATAGAAAACTCCTTAAGTTCTATAAAATTTACAATTTAGCGGAAACCGAATTTATTATATTATAAAAATAAATTAATAAATAAAAAGTAAAAAAATACATCTATAAATCTAAATCCTTACTTAGATTCCCAGTTATATTTATACTTAAGAAAAACAGAAAACTTTAATTATACATTAACTACCGACAGCTAAATAAACTTACTAAAAAAGATAAAACCCCACTACTACTTATATCAGAAATCAAAGACCAGTTAACTAAAGTAAAGTAATTTACTGCACTTAACCTTAAAAAAGCTTATAACCTCATTTAAATTAAAGCAGGAGATAAATAAAAAACTGTATTTTATACGTAATATAGGTTATTTAAATACTTAGTTATACCCTTTAGACTAATTAACACACCTACAACCTTTTAATAAATAATAAACTATATTTTATAAAAATTTATTAATTAGTTTATTATTATATACCTCAATAATATCTTAATCTTCTTAAAGACCCTTAAAAAGCACAAAGAATATATTACATAAATATTATAAAAACTATAGAACGCTAAACTCCTAGTAAAATTAGAAAAATATTAATTCTATATATAAAAGGTTACCTTTCTTAGATATATTATTACCCTAAGAGAAGTTAAAATAAACCCTAAGAAACTTAAGGCTATTAACCTATAGAATAAAGTAAATAATATTAAAGAAGTATAAAGCTTTTTAAAATTAACTAACTATTACCGATAATTTATTAAAAACTTTACAAAAATCACCGCACCACTTACAAACCTTACGAAAAAAGATTAAAAATTTATATAGCTACTAAATATACAAAAAGCCCTTAATACACTTAAGCAAGCTTTTATAAATAAACCAGTACTTATTATATTTAATCTAAATAAACCTATTATAATTAAAACTAATACTTTAAATTATATAATCGGAGGAGTATTAAGCTAACCTAATAAAAAAAAAAAACTAAAACTAATTACCTACTTTTTAGAAAAACTATATAAAGTAGAACTTAAATACTTAATTTATAATAAAGAATTTATAGTAATTATAGTTATACTTAGTAAATAATATTAAAGACACTACTGTTTAAAAAATAAGTATAAAGTTATAATTCTTATAGACTATAAAAACATTACTTACTTTACTATAATAAAAGAACTTTTAAAAAAATAAATCAATTATATAAAATACCTTTTAGTTTTTAACCTTAAGATTAAATATTATAAAAAATTAGAAAATAGATGAGTAAATACTCTTAGCCAATAACTTAATCACTTCCAGGAGATATTTATTATAGAAGCATAAGCCCTATAGTTTAATAATAAAAGAAACCTTAAACTAAAGTCACTAAATACTATATTTTACATTAAAAAAAACAATCTAATACTTAATAATATTAAAAAGTATATTAAAGACTAAACTATAAAATAATATCTAAAAGATATCTCTATAGATTAAAAATACCTAATACTTAACAGACTTATTTAAGTATTAAAGGAATTTAAAAAGAAAGTAATTAAAATTATCTACATACATCAGCTACATAAATATAAAGGAATAAAAAAAACTATTTAATAAATTTAATGGTATTATAAGTTTAATGGAATTAAGAAATAAATATAGAAAATGGTTTTAGAATATATTATATATAGAAAAGTAAAAGTAGTGTAATACCTTCTTTATGGAAAACTGCAACCTTTACCAGTTCTAATATATACTTAAAAGTTAATCTCTTTTAACTATATTGTAAAATTACCACCTTCTAAAAAACCTATAACAAAAAACACTTAAAATATAATCTTTATAATCGTCGACTAATTTACAAAAATAATATACTTTATCCTATAGAAAAAAAATAGCATTACTAAAAACTTAATATATTAGTTTATTAAATATATTTACGCTAACTATAGATTACTAAACGAGATTATCTTAAATAAAAGAATAATATTTACCTTTAAGTTCTAACAATCACTTATAGTACAGCTAGGACTAAACTATAAACTCAGCACTGCTTATTACCTATAAACAAATAGACAGACGGAAAAAATTAACTAAATTATTAAAATATACTTAAAAAGTTATATTAACTTTAATTAAAACAATTAAGTTAAACTTTTACCTATTATATAAATCTTTTATAATAGTATACTAATAGAATTAATAAAATACTTACTGTTTTACGTAAATTATAAATTTAAGCTAAATATTTATAAACTACTAAGGAAAAGAAAAAATACGCAAAAAGCTATTATTATAGCTAATAACATTAAAAAACTATACAATAAACTACAGATATAGCTTAAATTTATATAAAAAAGAATAAGTAAATTTACTAATATACAAAAGATTAAAGGACTAACCCTTTAGAAAAGAAATATAGTCTATTTACTCTAATACTCTAAAAACAAAAATATAGTAAATATTAAAATAAACCAGCTAAACAATAAGCTTAATTTTAAGAAGCTTAAGCTATATAAAATCTTAAAAAAAATCAGCACTATTAACTATAAACTCGACCTTTTAGTATAAAAAGGAAAACAAAGACAGTTAATATACCTAATATTTTACATTTTATTATTAAAAAAAGCATTAATAAATAAAAAAATAAAAAAGGTTATAAAAGATAAAATTATTATTAAAGGTAAAGAACTTAAATATAACGTTAAAAAACTTACTATAATAAAATTCAATAAAAAAACCTAACAACTTAAATACCTAGTAAAATAAAAAAATTATAATAACGCTAAAAATACATAAAAACCTATTAAATATCTTAAATACTTAAAGAACCTTTTTAATAGTTTCTATTGAAAGCTAAACCTAAAAAGGTTAATAAAAAAGAATTAAAAGTACTTTAGTTAATAGCGTTAACTGCAGAATCTAAGATTACAGAATTAGTTAGATTAAGTAATAAAGCTGCAACTTAATAAGCGGCCTCCGCCATTTTACACTCTGCTCTTTTAACCTAATCTAACTCCTTTAAATTATTAATACTGCAGGACACTGCATATACTGCCTTTTCAGACTATTCCTTTTATTATTTTTAAAAATAAATAACTTTAACTATAAAATTTACAATCTCCTCTTCAGCAGCCTTAACTTTATTATTAAACTAATTACAACAATGCAAAATACATAATAATTACTAAAGTATAAAAAATACCTTACAATAAGACTTATAATCCTTAATACATTTTAAACAGTAACTTAAGTCCTCTTTAAATATAAAATATTAAAAGCCTCACTTTTTACAATAAAAATAAAGTTTTATTTCAACGGATCTTAATAAAATAAATACAGTAAAGGCCACACTTTTATTAAGTTTTTTTTTCTTTACTTTATAATTAAATAAATTAGCAGATTTCTAAACGCAAGAAGTTATTTTATTAACATAAGGATACTATTATAAAAGAAAGAAACACTCACTAAAGAAAGCAAAGGGTGTAGGTACTTATACGCTAGACAGCCTAGTCTTAAGGGTAAAACCAACAGAGAGGGAGTATCATATTACAACCTAGCTTTTATAGTTGCAACAATAGGCCTATAGGGTAGGCGCTCTTAAATAATCATAAGACTAATATACTAATTAATATAGGGTCAATAAAAATCGGCGTTAATTCCATCAACGCACAACAGGATCGATATAAATCAATATTAATCCTTATTAATTCCAAAATATATAACTAAATATATAAGTTTACGTTTTTACACTTATTTAAATAGCTTAAATAGCCAGTTATTAACATAATAATTAGATTAGATTTAACTACTACATCTACTAGCTACGTAATATTAATAAAATAACGCCCGTAACCAATCTAACTGCTCCGCCAACATAAACCTAAAGCCTAGAGGTTTGTCCTTTGGGAACAGCTAACCTATACTAACATATAGGACCTGGTTCGTCACATATATTTAATTTTTTTTTTTTTTTTTTCCTCCTATAATTAACTATACTAACGTTTTTAAACCCTATAATAATAATAATTTTATTAATAATTATATTAAAAAAATTATTTTATTTTAATTATTAATTAATTATAAATTTAATATTTTTTTTTATATTTTTTTTACTTTTTTTATTAAAAAAATTAAAAATAAAAAATAAATCTTTTATTTTTTTATTAAATAAATTATAAATAATAATATCTTTCTTTAAATTTTTATTTTTATTAATTTAAATAAAGCCTTTATTATTATTTATTTTTAAAATAAATTAAAAAGCTAATTATTTATTAAAAAAAATCTTTTTTTAACTTTTAATTATAATACTTTTATTAATAAAAAGACTATTAATAATAACTTTATAATTATAAAAATAATATTTTTTTATTATTAATATTTTATTTTATTTATTTATTTTTAATTTTTTAATATTAATATTATAATTTATATTTAATAAAGCCTTTATTTTTTTAAATATTTATTAAAAATTCTTTAAATTTTAATATTTATATTTTACTATTTTAAATTTTTAATAATATTTTAAATAATATATTTTTAACTATATTAATAAATATTTAAAAGTATATTATAAATAGATTTTTTTTATTAAATTTAGTTATTTTTTATACCTTTTTTTAAATAAAAAATTAAAAAAAAATATTATTTAACTATTAGATTATTAATTTAATGTCCTTTAAGAGTCACTTTGCGATAAGTTTTTTATTATTTAACTTATAGTAATTTAAAATACAGTAAAATTATTTTATATTTTAAAATACCTTTTATTTTTAGCTTTATAGGGCAGTTAGTTTATTTTAAAAGCCTTATTAAAGCGGTAAGAGTTATCTTAATCGTTTTAGCTTAGTTTAATAACTAAGATCATTAAGGTATAAGTTCCTATCTCCACTAATTTTACTAGTCAGAAGTAACTGGCTAATTAGTCGGCCTGGAAAACTAGATGAGTTGGATCACACCCTATGTAGACCTCCAAAGACAACCAGTGGAGACTGTCCGCGTACAGAAGTGGTTAGCAATAGGCCAAGATAGACAGTTATTAAACACCCCACAGGCACGCGGACATGATCCGATAACCCAAGAAGGACATTTGTATGGTAGATGGGATGCTTTCTCAGATAATTGGCTACTCTCGTTTATTATGGAGTGAACGGATGAATGTCCGGTTCAATTCCATGCCTGCCTTCACGGCGTACGCTTAATGTACCTAGTACTCTATATTTTGATGACTGGTTAGTCGTCCGCTGGAATGCCTGTTATTTGCTAAACGAGTAAGATTCGCGATTGGCCATACGTTGTGCATGACGGGCATTACGCATAGCCGTCGCCTTACTACCACCTACACCCAAATATGCACGGTTCGGCAAACATGGTTCTCCTTTCTTTGTCTTCGGGAAGTATAAATTTCCCTTCCGGAACAACTTTTCTCTTTCGTATACAAAACAATAGAGGGGTGAGCCTAGTATCGGCGCAGATACACTGGCTAGCACAGCCGGCTCTGTAATGAGATCACAGTGAATAGAGCTCTGAATTCACGGCTAATCGATTGACCTAGCTCGCTGAATATGTTAATACAATTTCCGTGAATATTTAATCTCACTCAGGTGTTTCTTTTGTATAATTATTCTGCACCCTGTGGTATTTCATCATTTGCGTTGATTTCTCGTAGTGTATCCACGGAATATACGGATTTCTGATCCCACGACGTATCGAAGAGCGGATACTTCCACTGACCCTACCCATGTTTGTGCAGGGAGCGTCTGGAAGAGGTGAAATGATCTGTCAATAACAACGGATCCTTACTGAGCTCGATACCGAGCATATGCAAGCACGGCATTTGCATATACTTGTTTTATTGTATAGAGAAGACATGCGATAGGAAACCAGGTTGGATTCCCCGGCAGACTAGCAGAGCCAATGCCACTACGTACTCAGTGTGCTCATGCTTTAGATGAAACATTCAAAAAGAAAAAGAAAAAGCTTACCATATTAAAATACTACCTGCATACAGGTATGCACAAAGACTAAGAAAATGTCTGATGGACGCAGGCACCGGGCTTGGAGAAACATCCTCAGCACGCACAGATGGGGTGATGTTTGCGGTAATTAATACGGAGCACCAAGCCAAGTGCCTGTACATGCCCCTGGAACCCTGCATGCCATACCAGGATTGCAACAGGGCAGTAATAGTTCGTAAAGATGAGGGCAGATGCTAGTTGGCTCGGTAAACTACATATATTTCCGAAGCCGCCAGAAGGGATTTTCTCGGCATTTCATCTGGCCTCTGGCCGGGTATTGTCATTTTGAGTGATTCTCTTCCAAATATGAACCAGCCAATCTGTTGCAATATCTGGTTAACGCAGCTCGCTGCTTGGCCTGGGAGCTCCTGCAGAAGCTACTACACCTGCGCAAGCACGTCTGTCTATTCGGGTTGTAGTGATTCTTCAATGGAATGCCTTGACTCAGAAGTTCTCTGATGGTGATTTGCTCATATGCCGAGCAACAGTGAGCGCTTACCTCAAAGCTTTCTAGTCTCGGCACCAGGGACAAGCATAAATTGCGCCACAACGGCAAGGCGACTGGAGTGTGTTTGTTCCAGACGCTACTGGCTTCAGCGCAATCAGTTTCTTTTTCATCCTAATTCGTACGCGGGTTTCGCCATTGGTTGATCTGCGACGCCTACAAGTTTCGTATTGCGAGATCCAAAGCAGCATGAGGAGACGAGTAAAGGCCTAGTTCTAGAAGGGTTGTCACATCTTACTTTCAGAATATAACTGATTAGGCTAGCAGCGGCTGGCTTAATTGAGCTGCCTACTGAATCAATTGTAAGCTTGTGTACCCGATACAGTGAGGTCAATACTACTTGAGTGTGCTATGAATCTTTGTAGTCGTCAATTGCTACCAACTCAACCCTGCAGTATTAATTAATAACAGATGAAGAAAAGAAATCCAAAATTCTTCTCAGAGTCTTTCAGAAAAGAGAAAAACAGGAAAGAAGAAAAAGAAAAGAAAAGAACAGAAACCGTTCGCCAGATCAACAAACACACATATGGCCGCCCGTGCACTTTGGTGGCAATGGCCATTAGCCGTGGCGAGTTAATCGGGCTTCGGTTTAAATCACGGGCCAAGCTTATGTCGACTCCGCATTCAATCGCCGATCGCGGCTCGCAACAGGGCGTACCCTCTGTGCTTCTTCAGCACATAATTCATGAAGTCATCAATAAAAAGAAGAACAAACGCACGACAATAGACGCCAGGGTATCTTAAATCTCTCAATTAGGAAAATCATTATGTCAACCACAACAACTGTCGAAGTTGAAACACAACCCGCCGGGGAGAACATCGAACTCCGGCATCTCGGCCCCAGCAGCTCTTCCGGCCGCCAAATCGGCGCCGAGTCCAAAGAGGCGTCTCACGTAGAGGCGGCACCACATGTTTCAGACGGTGGTGACGGTGGCGAGCCACCGCCAGATGCCCTGGCGGAGGTTGAGAGGTGGAATCGGCCTGTCAAGAATATTGGCCGGCTTGCGTTTGCGTTTGTATCCTTTGCCATTGCGGGGATGAACGACGCTGCAGTTGGTGTAAGAGGACCTTGCTTCTTTTCAGTACCGATTTGCAGAATATTGCAATATTGATGTGTGATATCTTTATATCTATCTAGGCTTTAATCCCATATGTAAGTGACTATGCCGCCCAACATTTATCCCTGGCCTTTTGGACATTTTACTCATACTCATCCACTTCAATAGCTCGAAGAGTATTATAATCTCAGTTACACCGTCATATCCCTAATCTTTCTTACTCCCTTCGTTGGCTACTCCATCGCTGGTTTTACCAATGCCCGCATCCATGTCCGGTTCGGCCAGCGAGGCGTGGCCATCATGGCGCCCATATGCCATCTCATCACGTTTGCAATCTTGGCCTCGCACCCCCCATATCCCGCTCTCGTTGTGTGCAATGCCATCAGCGGATTTGGCAACGGTCTGACGGATGCCTGTTTCTGTGCCTGGGTCGGCGCCATGGACAAAGCAAATACGATCCAAGGTTTTCTACATTCGTGCTATTCGCTTGGCGCTTTGTTTTCGCCGCTCATTGCTACCTCAATGGTCGTCAAGGGTGGTCTTCCTTGGTATACTTTCTACTATCTGATGGTAAGTCTCTTGCTACGGACGAGCTTGTAGCACCAACTCTAAGAATGACTCTCCATATGCAGATTGGCATGTCTGGTCTGGAATTTGCTGGGCTCGTCATGGTCTTCTGGGACAAAACAGGCGCCGTGTACCAGGAGGAGCATGCCCACGAAAATGCAGATGCCGGTGCTGCTGGCGCAGGTACTCGCGAGGCAATGAAGTCGAAAGTCACTTGGCTTTGCGCACTCTTTTTCTTTGCCTACATGGGCGTGGAGGGTAAGTGGCAGATATACTTCATGATGTCCCGTGGCATAGTATCGCCCATCAACACTGACACTCATGCACTATATAGTTGGTCTCGGAGGCTGGGTCGTCACATTCATGCTCCGCGTTCGCCATGCTTCGGCCTATGCATCTGGAATTTCAGGCTCAGGGTTCTGGGCGGGCATGGCGCTTGGCCGTGCCGTCTTGGGATTCGTGACGGAGCGATTCGGCGAGAGACTCTGCCTATCAATCTACCTTGGGATCTGCCTTGGCCTCCAATTGCTTTTCTGGCTTGTTCCCCAATTTGTCGTTTCTGCCGTTGCAGTCGCTTTTCTGGGCTTTTTCTTAGGCCCAATGTTTCCAGGCGCTGTCATGGTGACGGCCAAACTTCTGCCCAAACGCATCCACGTCAGCGCCATTGGATTTGCCATGGCTATGGGCGGAACAGGAGGCACGGTTTTCCCCTTCATAATCGGCGCGATTGCATCCCACAAGGGTGTTTCCGTCTTGCAGCCCATTATCCTGGCGCTCATTGCCGTGATTGCGGCAGTTTGGTTGAGTTTCCCCCGTATTCAGAAGCGAGACTAAGATGGATCGTGGTATATTTCTTAGACCAATGGTATGCAGCCATGTACGGTGCAAGATTTTTGGAAAATATGTCCCTTATTTCGCTAGGAGGAAGTTTATGCTCCAAATTCAGAAATCCACGGTCTTGTATCAATGTTCAAAGTCACAAATTTGGTTCGAAGGCTAGTTGACATGAATTGGATGAGAAAATTTTGCCCAAACGAAATGCTCTTGTTGCATCCATAGTGGCTGGCCGCTCGTTCCGGTAAACACACTTCGTCCGAATATAAGACATATGCATTGAAAATAACGGGAAATTGCCTAGCTTATGCTTAAGGATCTGAATATGTGGGATTTCGTAAAAATATGGTTCAAGTAAGTCGCAAAGCCGTGACAAATGATGCAATTCTGTGGGAAGTTGGCTTAGCGTCATGTGATCGTCTAGAGTCAATTTCTAATCATTCTCCTCTGAATTCCACTTGCCATCGTCAGAACTATAAGCTCCTCACCATAAACACGGAGTTCTTTTCTCAAATAGTTTCAGCAATTCCCATTCCATCTACAATACTTACTATTTCAAGTCAAGCAGCCACACAAAGCTTCAAGATGCCTCTCATCAATGCCGATGCCCCGCCTTCAACCGCCGATACTCACTACGTCGTCTACTTTGCGTCTGGTGAACCATCCTGGTGTCCAGATTGCCGAAATGCTCTCCCAGCTCTTCAGAGTGTCTTTGGAGCAGATTCTGCGCCCTCGGCAACCCTTATTCTCGCTGGTACCCGCGAGGAGTGGGGGAGCCCGAGCAACAAGTGGCGCAGTGCGCCTTACAATATCAACTGTCTCCCAACGATTGTGAGGGTGGAGAATGTAAGTTGGTGGGGGTTAAATATCTACATTATGCTGTCTAACTCAGAATTTGATAGGGCCAGGAAGTTGCGCGCCTTGGGGATGTTGAGGGCCAACAAGAGTCAGCTTTGAGAAAACTGATTGCATGAAGGGAGCCTCGATGAAGAGCTTCCGTCAGACACGGTTAAAATTCATCAGCCAATCAATCAATTTATCTATGTCCTAGATATAAAAAATTGCATCCGTCTAATTCATGATACTTCCCCCTGATGGATTGATAGGAACTTCCTGAGTTGTGCAGTGAACACCACCACCTAGTCGAGGCAGCTCTTCAATCAGAACAGGAAAAATCCTCCTCTCATCGCCATACAGCCCCTGCACTGCCCTGATGGCCGCCGCATCATGAGCTGGGTCGCCAAATTGAGGGAGGATGATCCCTCCATTGACTAGCAGATAGTTGACGTAGCTCCTCACGGCACGGTCATCCCCAACACCGCCTCCCTCGAAGACCTCTTCGTCAGGCTCTTCTACCTCAACGATCTCGAATGGTCGACCTTTTGCATCAGTGGCACTGCTCAGAATCTCAAGAGCTTCTTCGTAAACGGTAGTCCACTCGGTCGGGTTGACCTCATTGGCCTTGCTTATGATCAACATACCTGGCCGAACAAATCGAACCAAGGCGTCAATATGGCAGTCTGTCGAGTCAATACCCTTTCTGCCAGGGATCCAGATAATCTTGTCGATGCCAAGATAGCCTTTGAGCTCAGTCTCGATTTTTTCACGAGACTTTCCTGGGTTTCTGTTGTCATTGACAATTGAGCTTTCCGTAATTAAAAGAGTTCCATTGCCATCGGTTTCAAGCGAGCCGCCTTCAGTGACAATGGAAGTCTCGATTCGATCGAAGTGATAGTCTTTCAGGAATGTCTTTGCGAATACTTGAGTTGTAGGCGTGAGATACTTATTGCCCCAGCCGTTAAAATTCCAGTCAAGGCCAGCGACGCTGTCCTTTTCTCCGGCGGACGATTTGACAACAAATGTGGGAGCAAGGTCTCTCAGCCAGACGTCCATGCTTTTACCGTCAATTTTATAGAGCTCGATTGGGAAAGGCGTGCCGATTCCCTTAAAATACGATTCGGCTTCTTCATAACGCTCACTGCCAACAGCTAAAATGGCACCTTGGAAGTGGGCTACAGCTTGGGCAATTGTTGACACTTCGTGTGTTGCCTTGGCCAACCTTTCTGGATAGTCTTGTAGAATTCCCTCCAGGCCGGGCCAGGCCAGGATAGTCTTGCTTTGTGGCTGCCATTCTGAGAGGCGACGAAGACTGAAGTCAGCCATGCCTCGATGGTGGATTTTCAAGTGGGCAATAGATAAGTGCGCGTGATGGGGATTGGAAAGAAGCAACGAGAAGGATTGAATGGATGTCCAAATCCTTCTTGCCATCTGGACGGGTTGAAGAAGGAGACTTATAGTAACGTCTTAAGCAGGTCTGACCTCATACAAAACATGTATATTACTCATATGGAGAATATCTCGTACTCCCTTACAGCGTTAGTGTTGTAGTATGGTCGAATCAGTTCGCCTGCATTCAAGACACGTCGCGAGAACTGCGTAAGTATGGGCGCTGTCTTAGTATGTCATGGATGCATAAAATATGTGTTAGGAGGGATTACGCTACAGCTGTTAGTGCACTGTTGGGCTCGATGTTAAGGGAGCCTTGTCCAAGGGTATTTTTCTCGCTCAACATATATCTTTAAGATGCGTCTAGGCCACGCAACTTTATTGATATTGATTTTGAGATAATGCGCTCCTTTGAATACTGATAACTAGCAATTACGAATATAAAAAGGACTGATGATTGGGAGCGCCGTAGTTATATATGCGCACCTACGTAAAGCTCCCTAGGCAACACGCGAGCAGTCTCCTATCAATATCCGCTGCTTTGCATAGCTCCACATTTAGTGTGTCTCTAGCGTTTTAGATCTTGTGTATTGGCTTTCTGTGCTCTCATGATTTTTCTCTTGTGTTTCCGGCAATGTTTCTTCATTGGTATCCATATTAGCGAACAAGTGGCATTTAACGCGTATCTCGTGCACCAGTTTTGATGGTGTAACCTAGTAGAAACCTGTGGTAATTATGTAGTTTTCCCAAACACCTCAGCCATAACTGCGTAATGGGCCAGTGGTAACCCAATTTGACTGAGGCCACTCTGTAAGCCCCTTAGCGAATTTAGTTACGGGTTAATAAAAATGCTATTTCCCATCGAGGAATTAAGGCCAAAGGCTCATCTATCTAAAAAATAGACATCTACACCGCAGGCAGAGGTGTCTATTTAGGGTTGGCTCTTCTACATACTCCGTCGTATAAACCCTCGACTATGTGCAAATAGCAAGGGTATACTATGATTTGGCATCTATGGGTTAGAGAATATTGGCTTTGATATTACGGCGTGTGCAGGAAATAGTAGAGATATAGTTTGCCATGATTGAAATGGGTAAAGGGTGGTCTTAGATGTAGCAGACATAAGTCGCCATAGCAGATATAGACAGATATAGATAGGTAAAAATGGACATAATATATCTAAGTATATTGTTGATATACGCATCAATGGGTTACCCAATGGTTCACGACATTGTTTAACCATAGCGTTAAGTATCAGATATGTAAGCTCAATATTAGGCATTATAATCATAGGTACCTACGAGAATTGATGAAAGATCATAAAATGCACATAGATTTGCACTAAACTAATATACTGTAACTTGAGAGTGGCACACTCGAAATCATGTTACATCCATTAAGTCCTATCAAGCAGACTCTAGCAAACAAGTCGGACCGAATTTGCCGTGGTGGGAGGACTGAAGATGTTCAAACAGGCGTTATTGAGACTAGAACTTCCCCAAGGTGATCCATTGCAATTTGGCCCTCGGAAAAATTGAATCTGCTCCCCCGGGCACTAGGATGTTAAGTGATTGTTTAATTGAAAACTTGGGCATTCTATTCCATCTCCATCAGCTACATTTATCCATTTCAAGCTGTCCTCTTGGAACAGCAACCTATTGATCATCGCTTTCTGTCATACTATCTCGAATATCGTCGAACTTGGTGAGCCACTCCTGAGTTCTCGTGGTATTCCTATGAGGAATATTTCTTGCCTCAGCTATATATTTCTCACATAGCGCTCTTGCTTCTGAAACTCTATCGTTCAAGGCAAGGTATGTGATGAGATTATATGCTGTTGTAAGAGTTTCGCTGTGAGCCGGGCCAAGCACTTCTCTCTTATTTCTCAAATTGCGACGATAGATGGATAGAGCTTCGTCTATTCTTTCGTCATCTTGGCAAAGCATAAAGGCCAAATTATGCTCAGCAGTGAGGACATCTGGATGGAGATTTCCGAGCAACTCTTTCTTGGTCTCGTAGACAGTATGCAGCAATTTTGCTGCTTCCTCAGGCTTACCCTGTTCGTCTAGAACATTGGCAAGATGAGACATACAGTTCATGGTATCACTATTCTTCAACCCGAGAACACGTTCACTGCGGGCCAAAGCTTCACGCTGCATTCTCTCCGATTCTTCATAATCCCCTGTCAAAGCAATAGCCGTAGCAAGGTCGCTCAAACTGTCAATTGTCCTCGGGTCATCTTCACCAAGAACTTCGCGCCGAAATTCCACCACCTTTTGGAGAATTGGAAGACCTAAAAGATCCTGGTCAAAAACGGAGATAGTCCAGCCCAGTAATCCCATGCTAGTCAACGTATCGACATGCTTTTCGCCTAGATAGACGAAATTTATTTCGAAAGATCGTTGGAATCTTAATCGTGCTTCGTCATAGTTTCCATTCCAATGAATATATCTTCCTGATGAAGCCAGTAACCTCGCTCGGATGATCTCAGAATCCTTTGTGGTCATCTTGAATTGATACTGCAGGATCCACTCGGCATGAGGAAGCAACATTTCTCCAATTTTGAAGTATTCCGGCTTTGGTTGTGATGATGGCTCGGGAAATTGAGATGCGATGGACTTCAATGCTTCGAAAGCCCATTTGTCTACCTCCTGAGGTTTCTCTTCTTCCAACCACCACCTTGTTGCCAATTGCACGAGACGATGTGTGCTAAACACTGAATCGCTCTCATCAATAAACGAAAAAGCTTTCAAGAGCTCGGCAGCTTCCTGGAAATGGAAATCTTCCCCGACTTCGTCCCCATTATGCAAGAGAATAGCGGGAATTCCGTGATGTTGAAAGAAGTTGATGAGACACAACAAGTCCGCTGCTTTTCGATTTGAGTCCCGTATGGACTCGAAGGATAGTTTCCATGTCTTACTTACCGACTCAAGGGTATTTTCCGGTTGCGCATAGCCATCATGGATAAGAAGTTTTGCCTTAACTGTATCACTCTTGCGATATTGTTCTAGATATTCTTGAACTGTCATTTGCTTCTTTACCATGAAGGCAATTGCTTGGGCGATGGCGAGGGGAATATACTCGAGTTCTTCAAGTAGCTCAAAAATCAGGTTTTCGGGCTCGTTATTTCGTAATTGCTTTCTTACGAGATCCAGCCCTTCTGATTTACCCAACTCGTGGATTGAGACGGAGGGTGTGGGATTCGCTCCGTCGAAGACCAAGTCGCGGCTCCTTGTGGTGAATAGCAAAGACCCGTTCTGGCAGTTCGGAATGCACTCGGAAGGAGTTTTGCCGACTGTCATCTTTCCGTGAAAGAAGGCATCCCCATCGTCCACATTATCAATGATCATTAGCCACGGTCCTACATGTTGAACTTCGAGCCAGTCCTTCAAAAGTAGTGCCGCATCGGATTTGGCGCCATCCGAGGTGTTTATACCGCATTTACTCGCAATGTAGTTGAGAGACTCTTCAAAACGAGCAACTGTGGCCGCGTTTACCCAGAAGATAGAGCAGTTGGCATCTTTACCGCGTCTTCGATAGCAATATTCTAATGCTACCTGAGATTTTCTAGAGATTGCGTCAGACGAACATCGTCGCGAAGAAAGAGAGGGGTAGATTCACCCTATGCCTCCAAGACCGCAAAGCGCTACTCTCGGTTGATTGCCGTCCTGTACCTCAAACGCTCGATCAATCTCCGTAAAAATTTCATTTCTCCCTACAAATGAGAAGTTCCTGTTGAAGGGTACAAGCCAGAAAGGGCTCGAGTGTGAAGGCTGCTGCTGCTGCTGAGTCTCGAATCTGGCTGCAGTATCGGGATCCATGATAAAAAAGGCTAGGCTTTCGCAATTATTCTAGCTAGATTCTCTTGTTCTGGTAATCTTGTCGGCGCAGTGGTGCTAATGACATGTACTAGCAAATTCTGAAGAAAAATAGTGAGAAGGCTCAGATTATCGCTAGCTCAATTGGAGCATTCTTATGTAGAATCTGAACCTTCTCATGGCTTCTTGCAAGGCATTTTTATAGTCTATTCCGAGCAACCAGTGACCGTAACCTCTTACATTCCTGCCTGCCCAAGGATTGAAGGATGCACGTCTCATTGGCCGAGCATCTAAGTCTTACATGCATGGCTGTGGGTACTATGGCCAGAAATACGTGCGCTTGTGAAATACGCAGTCCCTCTCCAACTCAGTAGCGCAGGTAGGTCGATTTCACGGAGTCTATATTTATTCATTGGATAAACTTTGTGTTACTTGAAAAATTCCAGCTTGTCTATTAGAATGCTTGCCGGCATTGCATTCTCGTCACTAGCACAGCTAACTGTGAACGTACATGGCGGGGTCAGATCAGCAGAGAGCAATTCTGGAGCAATAGCAATGGAGTTTAGTTGAACCAGAATTTAAATTGCATTGCTTCGATGTCTTCTTATAGTCTACATCCTGCGAGTGCGGAATTAACAATTGTGATGGCTCTATCTTCTTCTAGGTGTACAAAGACCATATTGTGGAACTCAAAATGAGCGGAGTGCAACTTGTAGCACAACTTGGCTGATCAGTGGGTAACTTCCACGCTAGAATTAGTTCTCACCTCCTCACGGCCCCCTCACTCGCTCAGCGAACAATTTTGATCCTCTAGATAGTTCACAGCTCAGCTTCCGCAACTTGCAATAATCATCAAGGTTCTCGGGCCGTTGGATAGACTTGAGATCTAGACATAATGTCGCAAAGAAATACGGCAAGCTCAAATGTGCCATGGATTGTCGCTGTTGTAGCCGCAGCCTTCGCAATAGGTGTCGCTACATCTGACGCCGTAAAGGACGCCGTTTTCGACGTTCAAGATATAATGACAACTTACAAAGGAGGCAATTCTATCCAAGAGCTGGATGAACTGCCATCCCAAGTACAAGTTGTTGACCCATCAACATTTGCAGCCATGGCGGTAGTGCCACCAGAAAACATTGCCAACGTTACCTCAGTAGGTGAAATTTGCGTGCCTATCTATTTGGTAAATCGAGAGTCTAATTGATCCACTGATAGAAATTTATTCCTCCCGGCTCTACAATGGAGAGCTTAAAAGAACGGCCATTTCACGTTTATCACCCAGACTTCATTCATATTTTGGGGTCAAATCCGACTCTTACACTTATTGCCGATTCAGGCACCGACCCGCTATTCCATGAAGCCGTAGTATGGTCAGATGAGTGTCAAATCTTCTATCCCAATACCACTGGCGCTTACAAAACATTCAGGTACCCTCCCACGGATGAAGTTTTCTTTGCCCAGAGTGCCGGCCCTCTAGCAGCCGGGACGGGCTTGACGAAATCCAGCCTGATTTTAAAAGTATCCCTGAACGAAGCCATGGCCGTCTCCAGCGAGCGGAACGCCGTTGGTAAAGTCCAAGTTCACGTAGTTCCCACTGAGCCTCTTGTCGTTAATCCCAACGGTATGCCTCATTGACGCTTGCATCCGTATCACAAACTGCATTTCTTCACAGCACAATGTCTGCTAACTATTCCTAGGAGGGACAAACTACAAGGGCACTATTTTGTTCACAGGTGAGGGAATGGGTCCAGACGTTGCCCCAGCACTCTTCGCTGTCAATCCAGTACCGCCTTACAACAGCACTAGTGAGTACCATATCAACACTATGTACCGAAAACAACTGTTCCACATTAACGGATGGCTCTCTCCAAGTCCTCGTCAATAATTACTTCGGCCGCCAGTTTAACTCTCTCAATGACGTTGCGGTTAACTTCAAAAACAAACACATTTACTTTACAGACACAGTATATGGCTATCTGCAAGACTTTCGACCAAGACCTGGTCTTCCGAACCAAGTATATCGTTTAAACCCTGATACAAGGGCTGTTACCGTTGTGGCAGACGAATTTGTAAATTGTAATGGTGAGTGACAACCTATTCATTTCGTATTTTACTCTTCTTACACTAGTGGGTAGGCATCACGTTTTCTCCCGAGGGCCGCTATGCCTATATCACAGACACAGGGGCTGGTAAGGCTTTCCGAGGTTACGATAACGCTGGACCTTCAACAATGTAAGAGAACAACCCTCCATCCCAATTCACTGCTAAATGTGGTATGAATTCAAAATATGAATTTTCCTAACTTGAATTTTAGATATCGTTACACAGTAGCTAGAGATGGAACGTTTAAACACCGAACGGTGTTTGCATATCCCGGAGTCGGCATCGTGGACGGTAATTGCTGATATTTTCTTTTACACTTATTGGAACTTGACTAATATTTATAGGAATTCACTGCGACTCTAAAGGCAATGTTTATGCAGGCTGTGGCGATGGCGTTCACGTGTGGAATCCCTCAGGAACTCTGCTGGGTAAGATATTTCTCGGCGAGACTTCAGCTAACTTCCAATTCGCGGGTGATGGTCGAATGATCATCGGCGCTGAAACGCACTTGTATTATGCAACCTTGGCTGGAAAAGGAGCGCCAATCTCATAAAATGGCATGTCGCCTGAAGGATCTTAGCACCTATGGTGTACCCGATTGACGCATCAAACGAGGAACAGTTGCCCCCCCCCCCCCCCCCGATATTTAACTAGCTGTATCAGTTGGGATGAAAACTTCTATTCAATTGGAATGTCCTTCAAGCTTTTTGCGATATATCCTCATCTTCGTTGGCCCTGTAACTACAGTTGCTAGCCATTCAATAATTTCAGAAGTTTCAGCAACCCTGCATAGCTTATATCCACGACGTTCATACCACCGCACGACCCGTGAATTTTCTTCGTGTTCCCATCCATCTGGCACTAAAATCTCAAGCTGCATTTCTTCAGCCCCCAAACTTCTCGCCCAACTCTCTGCGAACTCCATAAGCTGTTGACCAACTCTAGTACCACGATGCTCAAGGTGGCATGTAAGTAGGCCGAGGTTACCCATGCTAGGTCCAATCAGCTCTATGCTCACACAGCCAATTATATCCTCAGCTATCTCTTTGTCTGGGTCAGAGGACGGCTTCCACGCAATCGCTATTTGGTGGTCACGGATCTTTTGGCTTAGTTCTGAAGCAGATGTGCGAATGTGCTTTTTTGTGTCTACCAAACCGTCGTAATTAGAATGATAAGAACGGTTAATGAAGCCAGCCATGTACTCCAATAGCACTGAATTGTCTGCCAGAGATGATGATGCCACAATGATTTTTGCCTTTGGTAGGTTAAGAGACTTATTAGGTGGTTGAGTAGCACCTGTCAGTGGCTGGACAGTCTCGTTGGAAGGCATAATGATAAAAACTCTGAAAAGATTTCTGTCGAATTTGCAGGTTGAAGACAACACGATATTGTTGGGGATGGGTAAGAGATAATAATGAAGGGCAGTTTGGTCAGTAATTATACCCAGTAATCAGTAGCGGTGAGTCACCCTTTGAAGCAGTGAGACGGTGTGCTGTGGGGAAACCAAGAGACGAATAGCCTATGTATGCTAGTCATCTTTTTTTTTAAACAAGAATCATGTTGAGACTAATTATCTATCCTAGAATTACCTTCCGAGCTGGATCGAGCTTTCTGCTTATTTTTGCTTATTTTTTGGGCTGTCGCCTGCTTAGAGAAGCATAGTGATATATACTAAAAAAGTCTAATTTCTAGTACATACGACCATAGGTAGAGGAGAATTCGGGGTCCCGTCTGCTCCCCCATAGACAAGCCTCTAACCGGCAGATTAGTAGTTGAGTGGGTGACCATCAGCGAACACCGGCTGTTGTATGTTTTTGCTTTTTTGACCTACTGATGTCTTTAGTCAACTTGTCTAGATAAACTGGATTGCCTCTCTGATGAAGCACATACGACCATATCCATTAGAATATACGGGATCCCGTCCGCTCTCCTACAGTCAACCTAATGAGAGGCAGATTAGTAGTCAGGTGGGTGACCACTGGCGAACACCGGCTGTTGTATGTTTTTTTTTTGTTGCTGCTTTTCACGGTAGGCCTTATGAGATATGTCGTGGTCACCTTCGTCAAGGGATTGCCATGGCTTGTGAGTACATACCACCATGTCCATTAGAAAATACGGGATTCTGTTGCTCCCTGTCGCAAATATCATCAACTTTATGATTAGGCAAGTATAATAAGAGCAGCTCATGATTCGCCGAGTTTTGCAAAATAATAAACATGTGCAGTATAGATCTGTACAAATAAAGTTCATTCGAGTTTATCCTATTATTGATTCACTTAAACTATATACGTAACGGATAATGGTTTATCTGCTATAAGATCTATACTCCATACTGGAGCTAATTACACAAAAACTCTTAAATTTCAATCATTAGTGATTCGCCAGGCACCTTACCACGCAATGACTGAGCCATCACTGTCGAAGAAGGTACCAGAGGTTTCGAGATTCAGCTCATCAGTCTAGGAGTGACATAGATATTAGCTCGGCGTTAAAACATTGACTTATTCAGAACTCACGATTTTGATCACTCTTTGAGCACTCTCCTCTGTAGTCATCGTCGGCTCCTTCTGGTTGAGCGCATCCGCAAGTGCCTGACCCATGGAGGTTTTAACCCAACTATAATAGTATATATAATTAACATACATAGTTATTAGGGTAGTGTAATGGACGTCTCCAAAGAGGGGAATTTGTGTTACTCACCCCGGATGAAGAATGCCAATCTTCAGACCCTCGTGTTTGAACTCGATACTGGCCATCTTTGCGAACTGGTTAACTGCTGCCTTGCTAATGCTGTATGATGCGCTAGGGACATTTGGATGATCGGAGATACTGCCAAGGTGGCTGCTGGCAACAATAAACTTCTTGCCTGCCTCACCGGCCTTGCTCTTCGATAGTAGATCCCGGGTGGCAAAGAAGAGTTTCACAACACCGATGGTGTTAACTTGAAAGTCAGTAGCGATCTCATCAGCAGTCGTCTCTTTGATATGCTTGAAGCCGCTAGAATAACCAGCATTTGCGATGACAATATCAAGATGATCCACTATCTCAAGTAAACGAGAGGACAGACTGTCAAAGTTGATCTCCAGGACATCATCATCAAGGGGGAAGGTAACGAGCTTGCTGGTCGCGTGCGGATTAATATCCGTAAAGACGAACTTAGGGTCACGAACAGTGGCGATAACTGTTGTGTTGGGACGCTTAACTAGAGAAGCGACAATATACCTCCCAATACCTGGAAAATAGAAATGTCATTAATTTGCTAGAATAGCCTTGCTTCACATTTATTGTTACCCCTGTTGGTGCCTGTAACCAAATAGACTGTATTGCTGGACATATTAGCTCAGTTGTAAATTTGATTGACTAAATGGGGAGAGATTGTAGAAATAATAAATTGATCAGTGAGAGTATCTACTGTTGTGTCAATATTAGGATTATTGGAGATGCAGAATAAAGTGCCTATATATATATCAGTCCGCGGATTAATAGATGATTATTACCTCATTACATATGACATTATTAAACACTATTACCATAACTTGATTTATCAGCCTGCAAGTATAGGTTCTGCTAAAGTGTTATGCTAGCGCACTTGCAGATATCATCTCCATTCACAAATGTCTTGCTGCATGATTCCATATCAAGAATATTATAAATCTTAACTTTAAAAGCTAGATTCTAGGTGAAGTTAGTAATACAATTCTCCTCTTGCTTCAGACGGGTGCAGCAATGTATAGAATGGCCCCGAACGTGTTTGGAGGCAGTTGCGATAGAGGTGATAACTGATATCAGTAACCCTAACATAACCTTGGTACAAGAAATAAGGTTAATCGACTAGGTAAGTAACTGCACTTACTAATTAAATCTCCATAATATTACAAGACCTAAAGCGCCAGCGTCGACTTTGGGCAGCTGGCAACTTATAAGCGGAGCAATCGGATACCGCAACGTACCGCAAACACCGCAATGTCCGTAATTCCGTGTTCAGGGTATCGATCAATGAGCTGTAAAGATATATTGCTCATTCGCCCATAGCATGCTTCTGCAGTTTTCACCCTTAGGCCCCATGACGGTGTTCCATTGTTCAGCCGAGACGTGGAGGTGCTGTGGGCCGTGATAAAGAGGTCGCAGCCCTGTCCCGACTTGGCTTCTACAAACTTGTTGTAGCCGGACACGATATTTGTTTGCGTCTCACCGAGCGCAATAATAACCGCCGAATCCGGCGCCCGCACAGTAGACATCATCTTCGTTGTGAAACTGCTCGACACACCCATACAGTATCATTCGTTCGCCCAACTGTGCCGTGGTTGGCCCCATTGACGCCCAGAACGCTGTTCCAAGCTGGGTGGTCAAGGTGGAGGTGCAGGTTGGAAATATTTCCACGATGGCAGCCATCTAATGTAGAAGCTACGACGTCATGTTCCTTGCTCCCGTAAAGAGTGAACTATAGGACCATCCATTGGCAAATTATTCCTCATATTGAAAGGACTCAGACCGAAAATATGAGAGCTAGAAGAGATAATCATGGTTCAAATTCATATGGTATTACGCGGATTATTAGAAAAATTCTTATCAGGGACCGACGATGTCCTGTGCATCATCCATCCTCCGGGCCTCAATCCAAGCGATAGCTTCTTCCCGATTGCGGCAAACATGAGGCTGTCCCCTTTCTTTATCATCTGGCGTCGACATGGATCCTTCTAGAGTCATGTCGAGATTGCATAGAATGCTGTTTCGAAGATACTCGAAACAATGGGCTGCATGTCTTGGGTTATCATCCTCACTAGGCCCATTCAGTATCAGCTGGTGATAGCTATCCACGCTGTAGTATAACTAAATATTGTTAGCTTTTGAGAAACTACTAGCAGTGACAGGTGGTTGTGATGTCAACTCACACAGTGTAGCGCATGTGTCCATGATGCCTCAAATAACGGTCCGGAACGAATGGGGTCGTCGGTAATGGGTTTCCCAAGCAAGGGATGGTCCAAATAGTCAGGGATAAGCACGCTCCCGCTCCCAACTACAGCAATTATCAGCAACTCTCTTGTAAGATTAACAGCAGGAAACTAGTTGCATACGTGGCATCAGCATGTCCCAATTTTTCCGGATCTCCATTCGATTATCATTCGAGGTCATGTTCGGAATAAATTTATCCTCTTCAGGCTTGAGAAACGTGTACGTATGTGATACTATCTAATAGTTAGGCGTTGAAGATCCAGATGGTGAAGGTAAGATAAGTGTTACTCACCCGTCTTGTACAGGCCATTAATGTCACTACCAGTCTCGACAAATTGGCCACCAAGATCGTTGCTTGGTTCTGTGTTACCATTTTGCTTCAAAGAGAGCAATAATATCAGAATTGTCTGCAACCCAACAATCACACCCCATCGCAACCATGTCCAGAAGTTGGAAGAGGCTTTGACTCGTTTCTTCAGTCTCTGTGTTAGGGAAGATGCTGATACATTTGCATCACCTCGCAGGGGAAGAAACTCCGCCTTGTCAAAGATCTCGGCGGTTGATGAGGTTTTGGTTGTATCTGATGCATTATCTTCCAGATCAACGTCTTCGCCATCGTGGAAGTGGCCATTTCCTTCGAGTTTGATGTACCTCCCAGTGAACGCCATATTGATTCAATAAATTAATAGTTTATGTAAATAAGAAGAATGTGAAAATGAAACGCCAGCGCAAGAATTGAATAACAAAGAAGGAATTGCTTCTCCCTGTACCAGCAGGAGATAGAAGGTCGGTGGTGATCTTGAAAGACGTCAAGAGAACTTGAGAAGGGGGAGAAAATCGTCCACTCGAAGGCGAGTTTCAAATAGTTCAACAGTCACTGCCTCCTATCCCAACTCACAATCGAAACTTTCACTGTTTGATGCGATGAGAATCCTCTCCCAAAGAACTATACTATGAAACAAATTCTCTCCTAGTAGCAATTATCTATGCGAATCATTAACATTGGCCATACTACTAAGTGCGCGACTAGTGTTTGGGTGGCTAGGCGAACTAGGAGTCGGCGAAATGCTGCTACTCGCGTTGTGTCAGGGCTGTCGAGGCCCACAAATAAGGCCTCCCCCCCCGCGGAATTACAGACTCGGGATTTCTTTCCCTAGCAACACGGATAGTCCACTAGGTATTGCCAGTTCGAACAGGCTATGACGCCGTTAAGGCGCAAGCGAGCTTAGAGCGACGTGACAAAGACACACGATAACGAGCCGCCAGCGGCAAGGGGCTAATGAGACACTCTCCTCGTATAGGAAGTACAGAGTGGTTCTGCTTCAGCTGACTCGGCGCCTAATAGGCTCTAATAGAGCCCCGTGCGTGCAACACCAGCGGTTAGTCTACAGATTATCCAGCCCGTTGATTTGAACCACTTTTCATCTATACAACAGCGGTAGCGAAATGCAAAACGCCAAAGTACCAATTGCTACCCTACATGCATTTACTTAGTATAACAAAACGTATAAAACTCCAAATTTCGAGAAGGAGACACGAAATGAGGCGTATCATCATACAAGAGCATTTCTAAGGGGGGTGGACCCCCCATTCACCCTTTTTTTAATGGAAAAGTTATCGTATTGGTGAAGCAAATTCAAGCAAGAAAACATTTCAAAACCTTCGGCCAAATATAGCGTGTAAATCAATGAATTATATCCAAACGCAAATCAGAAACATTTAACACACAAGATTTAATCTGGAAAAGATCAAGGATAAAGGTATCTAGGATAACATGTGCACCCTCGGGACTAGGAAAAGGGTATTGCTATAAAGGTTCAAGACTACATGTATTTTACACAACGCGGACAAGGGAAGACACTGCATTTAGTGCTCCAACACCTCCATATTTCCAACAGAGTGATCTAGCGCCCACTTGCGCACCCCCTCGAAATTCCGACAAACGTGTTTCGAATTCAGTTCGGGCCAAGCGAGTGGGTCGCCTGGAATCATATAGAAAGTGAAAAGACCAATGTCTGCGTTACACTGAATGTTTTGACGGAGCACCTCGATGCAGTGATCTAGACGCATGTAAGCCAGGCTTACCCGTGAAATAATAAGGATGTGCATACCTGTGTGTGCTTGAAGGACTTCTGGACCATGACTGAACTCTCCACCAAGAGGTTCGTAGTATTCCCTATAGGTAACCCTTCTCAAAAGGTTCAGGCAGTGCAAGTGGTGAAAGACTTCCATGCCAACTCTATACCCTTCCTCTCCGGTGGTAGGATGATTGACCTTAAGGGAGGTCTCTGGCATATCCAACTTCGAGATGTCAGACTGTGATATCCATTGATCGCCCACTTTCATGCGGTTGTTAGAGTCGACTATACGTAGCAGATAGGTCGCATACTTACTGTCGTAAGAAATCTCCCTCCATACTCTGTCAACTTCTGGTCCAGCGCCGACGAAGGGATTGCCCTTCGATGTGATGTTGTATCTCACTTGGTCGTATTGCACAGAGATATCTGCGGGTGCTGTGTTTGCTGTTAGTCATCTCATTTTACCGTACGATATTAATATGCACTACTTACACCAGGCTGAAGTCTGCCGAACGTGATATAGGGTTGATGATCGCAATATTAATGTGCTAACCAGCATTCCGCACGAGGTAAGAAGCAAAACTGCATGAACAGCCAAGAGCCATTTTGATCTGATCCACCCAGATGCTGATTCACGAAGGGAAGCCTTGTAGTATAGTTCTGAATCGCGCGACAGATAGTCTAAATCATCAATCGCTCGCAAGGTTGAATTAGAGTCGGACGACGGACGGCTGGGTTTCTCGCCAGGCAAAGACACTTCCAGAGGTCGATACTCGAAAGCCATGGTGGTGTATATGAGATTGAGATGGATGAAATTGCATGAAGTTTTCGGTTTAAAAAATATATATTTTTGGCGTAAGACACAAAATTTGAAAAATTTTCTTAGATGAGAGAAGAAATGTGAAGAGAGCTGGTCATTAAGTTTAGGAGGCTGCTCAGCCGCGCTGGGGACAAGACCTTCATGAAACAGACCTGAATATTTACCAGGGTCATAAACGAGGAACAACAATACGGTTTGTCTCAAAATTGGACAACTAGTAGATGTTAAAACAAAAGATCAACCAGTTTCCAAACCGCTATCGGAAATATCGGCGATGTTTTTGCGGCCGTTTGGAATCACGACCGTTTCATCGCTTGTTGTGATGCACGTCTGTAACTTCCTAGCAGTAGCGCCTAAATAACCACAACCCCAAAACTGGAGTATCGTCAAAACACTCCCATGGCCTAGATCACTCTAGTAGCCTCGGTAAGAGACTGATCGGCTGTTTCAATTGACGCTCGCTTTTGGATTTTTGGCAAAATAGCGAATGGATTTCCTCGTTTCAATGAAGTTTCTGATGAGGCCCCCGAACAACGTTCCTGTATGTATTGCGGAGCGAATCGCCTATTCCGGAATATCTCCACTGACAGTCTGGTATCCTCCAAGCCTTATAAAAGCGGCTCTGTATTTCACGTCCTTCCTGGGTTTTTTTTTGGTTCGCATCCATCTTCTCATTCTTCTTTCTTTTCACGCTTCTTCTGACTGCCGGCCGGTCTCTCTTTTGTGTATTCGCCTTTTTGTTTTACATTTTCTTTCAATAATAAACTTTCGACTCTCATTCACCATGCGTCCCGTTTCAGTTACCAATGCCTTCGTTTTTGGCCTCCTGGGCTTGGCCCCCATCACTACCGGCCTCTCTATTCCTGGGTCAACAGATATGGAGCGGCGATATGTTGTGAGTGAATTTATACAGATAATAGATATGAGTCAACCTAATTAGATCAACTAGGGTTCCGGTGCAGCTCTAGCTACCAAATTCGTACGCTCCATTATGACGGGCCTTGAAGCTCGCCACCACACCGAGGCCCAAATCGCCGCTAAGGAGGCTGCTGCCAAAAAAGGAGGAAAGAAGCATCAAGCCCGGGAGGCTGATGTTCCCGAAGATGATGAGTTTGGATCATGGGTCGACAAGCGCGAACCTCATCACACTGAGGCCCAGATCGCCGCCAAGGAGCAGGCCGCTGCTAAGAAAGGAGGGAAGAAGCATCAAGCCCGGGACGCTGAAAAGCGCGAACCCCACCACACCGAGGCGCAGATCGCCGCTAAGGAGAAGGCTGCCGCCCAGAAAGGAGGAAAGAAGCACCAGGCTCGGGACGTTCCCGAAGATGATGAGTTTGGATCATGGGTTGACAAGCGCGAGCCTCATCACACCGAGGCGCAGATTGCCGCTAAAGAAGCTGCTGCCAAGAAAGGAGGGAAGAAGCACCAGGCTCGAGAGGCTGATGTGGTTCCCGAGGATGATGAGTTCGGGTCATGGGTCGATAAGCGCGAACCTCATCACACCGAGGCCCAGATTGCTGCTAAGGAGGCTGCTGCTAAAAAAGGAGGAAAGAAGCACCAGACTCGGGAAGCTGATGTTCCTGAAGATGATGAGTTTGGATCATGGGTTGACAAGCGCGAGCCCCATCACACCGAGGCTCAGATTGCCGCTAAGGAAGCAGCTGGAAAGAAGACCGGAGCTAAGAAGAACGGCAAGAACCATGCCCGCGAGGCTGATGTAGTTCCTGAGGATGATGAATTCGGGTCATGGGTTAACCGACGCGATCCTCATCACACTGAGGCCCAGATCGCCGCTAAGGAAGCCGCTGGAAAGAAGACAGGAGCCAAGAAGCCTAAGAACAAGTCTAACTGAGTCTCAGGTGGGCACTCAACTGTTGGCCCATTCTAGGCAATCCACTCATGGACATCGCACAAGAGGATACAAGCTGTGGAAATAAGCAGAGAGATGGATTGCCGTTTTTGAATTAGCTGTTTGTATCCTTCCATGACATGGGTGAGACATAACTAGCAGGCTTGAGAAATAAAATAAAACATATTTAATTAAAAAAATCAAAATCTAAGCATATATCCCGGAGTTGCGACAGATCGCTAGGCCGAGTTTCATTTTATTAGTAGTAATGTGTTGGCTGTTTAGGGTGCACAAACTGGCAGCACTGCTTTATATTAGCAGGCAGTTAGGTCGGTAGATAAGCAATCTTATTAGCCAGTAAAGTAGCAACCGAATCTAGTCTTATTGCTACATTAGTAACTAGCTATTTAACCTATTTAATAAGCATAGTAAAGTAACCTTATATATCCAGTTAATCTGGTCGTCGTTGCGTTATGTCGTGTCGACTTAGCAGAGCTCGGTCGTTGTAAGTCGTGTCAACTGCACTTGAATTTCTTCTGATTGGTCAGATCATCCAAAAATAACCCAAATCTGCTTCTCCTATAGGCCCATTGCCAAGACCATCAAGGTTCGGTCGTGATATATTAGTACTTAATTTCCGTACTGATAGTGTGTTAACGACTAGCTATTTAAGCTATTTAAAGAGTTATAGTGAGTTTTTTTTTAAAAAATTTTTTTTATCTACCTAAAAGGCCTATTATCGCAAGTATGATAGTTGAGTTATGATGAAGATTAATCTTAATTTTAGTTATCAGTAACTGATTTATAACCCTGCTTGTAAAACCTCACGAGCTGCTCTTTCCAGCGCCGATAAGATACTGGTCAAACCAAGCGATGGCTTGGACGAAAGCTTGCTCCTTAGACCACTTGAAAACCGGGTTGCTCAAGTCACCACGAACACCAAAGCCATGTGAGACACCAGAGAATAGATTCATCTGGTAAGGAAAGCCTTTCGTCTTGAGAAGATTCTCCGTCTTGTAGCGCAGCTCTGGTGGGAAAAGGTCGTCATACTCAGCAGCTGCTATGGAAAGAGGACCCTGAAAGCCTTTGATCTCATCGTCATCGACGTTGGAAGGGTGGGCCATATAGCCGACGTTGATTTTTTCGGCACCAGAGTGACGAGCAACATACTACATAACTGTGTTAATGTGACGCTCTTAATATCTTTCGAAACGGACGTTTGTGCGTAGGGGATGCTTTAAATAAGGGGCAAGATATCTGCCGGTCTTGAGAACAGAAATCAAGTATCATGAAATAAGCTCTCAGGTTACCTTTGCTCCAAAGCAATAGCCAACTGCGCCGATTGCAGTAATGTTCAGCTCATTTCTCATGTATTTGATAGCTTCTTCGACGGCGGGATCCACGTATTCATTCGTATGAGGGGTGGATTCATCTCGGAAGCCGCCCATCAACCATTTCATCCAGTCAAAGTTATGGCCCGGGATCTCCGTCAACCCGTCGCCGTTGAGAATGTCGATAATCAAAGTTGTGTAGCCATTTGCCGCATATTGATCAGCCATAAGCTGCGAATTGGTCCAGATGCCAAAGACATCACTAAGATATAAAATACCGGTGCCTTGATGGTTATGGTTGTCCTTAGGGGTTGCGAGATAAGCATCGTAGTTGCCAATTTTGAAGGACTTTCCGGTAGTCTCGCCACTAAAAAAGACAAAATAGTTAGCATACGAAGTTTTAGAGTCCCGATAAAGGAAGTGGACGGCGAGCACTCCGCTGTGGATGACGCTCCACTAGGCCAAGATAGTATGACTCTTAACACAGAACAGGAGGAGTTGCAAAGGAAACATAATTTGCAGGTGGGCTGAGATGTGTGTTTAACTCATCTACTGTTAATATAGCTTGTAAAAGAAACAGTTGGCAAGACCCTACTGCAAGTGTATGTGCTAATATAGCTGTTGTGATGGGCAGTGTGATGTACTTACTCATGCTTGAAGCCCTTAAAGCAACAAGATGCAAGAGGACGAGAGGCCATTTTATAAGCTAAGAGTTGTTTCTCTGCGGTGCGAATATAGAATTAAAGCTCAAAGATGTCCGAGTTGGCCCAATTAAAGCGAAAATAGATTAATTCCGAGGCTCCTTGACGTTGAAAATGTCTCGATGTGTGCAGACTCGAAACCCTCCATCATACTTATACTCTGGTGAATATTGCCTATTGTTGATGACGACCTAGACACAAGCTCTCAGCTGCTTTGACGAACCGTGTAAGTTCGGGACCGAAATAATTTCGGATGTTACAGAATGTCCGGAAATCACATGACTGTCATTGCAATTAACGCGCAGCAATCTGCTCAAACTCACGGACTCTTCACATCGTCCGGTTGTGAAGTTTGCGGCCTCTGACGGACAAATCACAGGTCAGGCTCGATAAATCGGACATTGAAGCTTTAATTGTTCCATTTTTAACAGACTATCGGTTGATCGACAGGCTGGAGATATGGAGAAAGCGAAGCCGAAGCTGGATGGAGAGACACCGTCCACGGATGCAAGTCCAGGTGCGCCACTTAATGACCCTCCATTCTCCCAACAGCCCGTGAAGTCGCAGCGCATCCTTGCGTGTGTACTTTGTCATCAGCGCAAGATTAAGTGCAATTGAAAGTTCCCTTGCAATAATTGCATCAAAACTCAATCGCATTGCGAGCCAGCCACGTTAGCCCCGCGCCGAAGACGACGCAAAATCCCGCCGCCAGACTTGGTGGATCAGCTGCGCATTTACGAGAGCCTGCTTCAGGCAAACAATATCAAATTCGATCACTTGCGCAAATATAAAATTTCGGGGAATGATTCTCCAGTTGTGGAGGATGCAGATTACTTATATCAGGGGAATGAGCGTGTGGATAGTCCGAGCCCCGCAGCAAGAGCAGATTCGGAAACAGTTTACGAGGCGAAGTATGCTTTGCTCAAATTGGTCATATAACAGATACACTAACAACTATTTGGTATTTACCATTGTCAGAGACTATTGGCAAGCCGTGAGCCGAAGCGTACGTGGCCCCTTCAACCAATCAATCCCATATGATCGCTCATGAGAATAATACCGAGATAATGAGAGTGATACATCGTACGAGGATTTGCGTGATAACCCCGTTAAAAATACGTGGGATCTGATATATCACGAAAATGATCAACTTCTTTTTGTGCACGGCAGGAGCCTGTTGACCTGTCCTCGCTGCATCCAAATGCCGTCCAAATCTTCAGGCTTTGCCACCTCTATATTGAAAATGTCAATCCTCTCCTGCAAGTCGTACATGCTCCCAGCCTCCAGAGTCGCATCATAGAAGCAGCGGGCAACGTGTCGAACATTGAACCGAACTTTGAAGCTCTCATGTTTAGTATCTACAGCATGGCAGTAGTAAGTTTGACAAATGAAGAGTGTATTAATCTGTTTAGCACAACAAGAAGTATTCTTCTCCAGCAATATCATCGTGGCTCTCAAGAAGCCCTTCTCAATGCTCGCTTTCTACGGACAGACGATCGGAATTGTTTAACTGCTCTGTTTCTCCATCTGGTAGGATCTTGTCTCCCGTCATTGTGCAAATTCTGACCGATTTTCAGCTCTCGATAAGACCAAAGATGGATCCTCGCTCTGTCTCATCCATGCTTGGAATTGCACTACGCACAGCACAGCGCATGGGGCTTGATAATGAATCGAACTTAGCCAAGTGTGACATTGTCGAGGCCGAGATGCGTCGACGTCTATGGTGGGCTTTAGTTCTATTCGACACCCGCATTTGCGAATTGATTGACACTAAAAAGACGGCGCTGACTCCTATGTGGGACTGCCGCATTCCTCTCAATGTCAATGAGTCTGAGCTCCGAACCGGACTGAGAGAGATACCCAGAACTCAAACGAGGATCAGCGACTCCATTTTTGTCGTCGTCCGTGGCGTGATTGCAGATTTCATTAGACACTCCTCTTTCTATCTTAACTTTACCAACCCGGCCATGAACGCTGCAACGAAGACTGCTAGCACCAAGTCCAACATGGATGGCGGTGAGGTTGACGCCTTCGAAAAAGAGTTGGAAGAAAAATATCTCCAGTTTTGCGATGCAGAGAACCCGCTACAGTTTATGACCTTATGGACCGCACGGGGTTACATCGCCAGATATCGCATCATAGAGCGGCTTTCACTGCTGAATGGCCCAGTTGGAGACTCCCAGCGTGACGCTCTAGGCCTGATGGCAGTGGACATGATCACTTGTGATAGTAACATCATGACCTCGTCCATCGTCAAAGGCTTTCTCTGGCTGATTCAAATGTACCATTTCCCATTTACTGCATATATACAGCTTTTGCAAGACCTGAAACGACGTCCTATAAGCAGTATTGCGGCGCAGGCTTGGTCAAAAATCGACGAGAATTATACGGCTCGCCTCCTGTTTCAAGAAAATGCAAAAAGCCCTTTCTACCAAATGGTATCTAGAATGATACTTCAGTCCTGGGATGCTCGACAATTAGCACTAAACGACCAGGTTCAGCTTGTGACTACACCAGGCATAGTGTCATATCTTCAAAACAATACTGGTTTATGGCAGATAGAGAATGCGAAATCTCTTGATAAAGCCATGGGAAATATGTCTATATCAATGGCAAATTCTACCAACTTGAATAACACTACAGCGGAGAACTTCCCTATTAACATGCTGGATATGGGTTTCGACGACATATACACGTACTCTTTCATGGACCTTGACCCTAATCAGTCACACTGGCTTAGTACAGATTGGGCTCAGTTAAACGCGCCATCTGCCAATAGATTATATTATAAGGGCTTCACAGGGCTAGGGCCTGATGCTACAACCACTTTCTAAATTGGCATTTCAACTTTCACAGCTTTACTCATATTGAATTCCTATATTAAGGCCTGTTGCTATAGCACTTAGCTGTTATAGAATGCTATGAAGGATATTTAACTGTTCCCCCCTTGATGTTTACCACTTTGTACGCATCGCTATTGCCTTCCGTCTAAATGGTCATTTCTTCTCATCTTGTTCGAAGTGGTAGTGCCCGATATTGGCGTTCGCTCCATATTATCCCAGTAAAATTGCTAAGCTTGATTGCTTACACCTGCAGACACAAACCCTTTCGGCTCCGGTTCCTCGGAGAGGAAGCAGCCACCGGTAAGACTATGCTTCGGCAGAGGTTAGTCCCCCTCCTTAAATTTGTTCCGTCTGAAGTAACGGCCATGGCCATATCCCGTTGATCCACAACAATTCCAACCACCCCGCTCATGATTACCATTCTGCTGTCTTTTAAATGATGAACTCAATGAGTTTTGCATTCCCTATGGCCCTAGCTGGGGTGCATCCACCAGGGTCACTTGCATAGGTGCCCATGGCTTGAGAAGTAAATTCCGGCGACGTTATCAATCAAGAGCCGCTCTAGTTCACGGACTCTCGGGGTCCATGACACATTCTGGAGGCCTTATTCACCGTTACCCAAAAAAAGCAAATGTTCATGTTTGTGCCGTCTTTCGACAATATTTGCTAGACAGCGTGATTATAACCCGCTTAATCGCTCTCTGGGTTCCTGATTGCAGATCACGATAACTGAATTCTTCATAGTCAGATTGTTGCCTCTGTGTAGGTAGATAGAGTTAATGCCGGATTTAATCGAGAGTAAACTATAAGCAGTTGCAATAGAGTGAAGCCTACGAGAATAATTGGCCGCAGTGGCACACTAGTATAGTCAATAATTAGTATTTGTGAAAGAGTGATCTATCCATGCAAATGGAAAAATGCCGTAACTAACTCGAACTTGAATTACTTGAAGTGATTATTACGCAGCAGCGTCTTAGTCTAGGGTTGCGGATTAGCCGCATAACAAATTTTGCTGTCTTAAAGCAAGTTGGACTATGAGACTGTCAGCTCTATCAGACACACGCCCGTTGTTGCTTACATTACTTTTGGAATAATTTGGCCAAGTTCCTATTTTAGGCGTCCACAGCAACTTGGATCACTAATCAACATTACGATCTTGATGGAACTTTAACGCCATGCGAACCTCATCTGACATGAATCAGGCAAACGATATCTCTTGCATCTACGTATATATACGACATATTCTATAGTAGTTTCTTCTCTTACACTATGGGAAATATCTAACTAAGTATAAACATGAGAGCCATTACTGTTCTGATCGGCACAATTTTCGCTGCCCATGCTGTGGATGCCTCGTCTTCTTTGCTGCGTCATGAAGCACCCAAGCTGCCAGCATTTGTCCTTGAATATGGTGAGCAAAGCGCTCTGCATGCAGCCTTTCTCTGATTCAAGCTAAAATTCTGTTCCCCTTTCTTCTTTCAAAACATTAACTTTTCATAGCTCCGATTGTCGCGCTCGATCAAGGCGAGGTTTTATTCCCAGCCGATATTGGCAGACGGTTACTAAATACGATTCCTAAAGTCAACTTCACCAAAGTTGGAGAAGCACATTCACTGACGCTTAATAACTTGAACGAACTTAACAAGCTTGGTAATACCTCGGTCTTTCTCACCGCCAGGGAGGATACTACAGACATCGCAAGGGAGCCATCTTGGGTGCACGGCGTCAAACCGAACAGCCGAGGAGAAACAGTAGGCGCCCGTCTCTTGTGCTATTATTCTTTATGTTCATCCAGAAAACTCTTCAATAGTCGATGCGTTCTACTTCTACTTTTACGCCTTCAACAATGGTGGACATGTTGCCGGAGTTCCCGAGGACTTCCATGTTGGTGACTGGGAGCATTCCATGGTCCGATTCCAAAATGGCATCCCATATGAGATATTTGTCTCAGCATAGCGGCAGTGGAGAAGCCTTCAAATATGGCGCGCTACAGAAGATCGGGAAGAGGGCGCTCATATTTTCAGCATTCGGCGGTCACGCGAACTACGCTACGAAAGGATCTCATAACATCCCATTTACTCTTCCGCCACTACCTGTATTGAACCTGAGTTCAGTGTCAATACCAGGTATACCTTCCAGTGTGTTGGAACATTTGAACTTAACTGCAATTCTAAAGGCAGTGATTCCAGCCAACTTCCTGCAGGACAAAACCTCAATGGGTACTCTATGGGATCCAGTCGCTAATGCCTATGCCTTCAACTATACCTTCGACTTCAACCCGCATCGCACTGCAGAAGAAAACAACCGTTTCACTCCGCTGGCAACACAAAACCAACCCAACCCCCCAACGAACTGGCTGACCTACTTTGGTCAGTGGGGAGACGAGCAATATCCATTGACAGATGTTCGACAGTTTGAAATTCTTAATCTTCCGTCGTTGGCGTACATCACGAGTGGGCCTAATGGACCTGTTTTCAAGCATCTCGTACGATCAACGGTATGCCCACCAGCCATGGTCAATTGCACAATCAAGACTTCATTGAATCAAGCGGCATAGGTAGGTAGAGAAATTAACTTTCCACCCAGGACAGTTGGCCACGGCCGAGATTTCGGCAGGATTTACAGCGCTCTACACTTAAGTAGCAATTTAAGAAAAGTGAAATATGGGGCGTAATCTAGCAATATAAGCAAAGCGAAAGGCTGGATTAAGAGTTCCGATAATAATTATTACTAAAATGAACGCAGTGAGATAACAATTAGCCATGAACGAGTATATTTCTCAGCCCGGCTAAGGAGTTGGGATTGTAACGTTTCCAACTTAAAAACTTCTGGTATGCTGAGGATCTCAACCTTTCATTACCACGATTTTTTCGGCTCATTCCCTCAATGGGCAGTGCATGCACTACCTCACAAAATCCTGCACATACCCCGCTATCTCGCTCTGCAAATAGCAGACTGTCTCTTAGTTCTACATAGACGTGAACCCCGCCTCATTCATGCGCGCTATTATCCCAATAATGAACCCACCAGAGAAAGTTGACATTCGATCAACAGACGGGGCATCCGTCATCTATAGGGATGTCATCTCACTCAATTCACCCCAGGAAGAAATACGCGTGCTTCATCTTGAAAGCGGCTCAGGATCTTCCTTGCTGAAATGCACACTTCATCGCGTCTCTCTTCAGTCTGTCCAGGCCCCAAGTTACGAAGCACTCAGCTACACTTGGGGGAATGAAAATGACAGAAGAGCAGTTGTCGTAAACGGCTATCTAGTTGATGTTACCTTCAATCTCTATTCTGCCCTTTGCCGGCTTCGGAGAGAGGATGGTACCCGTGTCCTATGGATAGATGCTCTTTGTATTAACCAGACTGACCTGGATGAGCGCGCTCAACAGGTAAGGTTGATGAGAAACATCTATACCATGTGTGACCAAACCGTTATATGGATAGGCGAGCCGCTAGAAGACTTGCTGCCCACCTGGGAGATGTATTGGTCCGGAGATGAGCATGACGATGAATCGATAGACTGGTTTTGGAAAGAATTTTATTCCGATTCTGATCGCTCAAGCTTGAATGAAGATGACTCGACCTCAATCGACCAGATCTTTCATGCGTTCGCCAATCTCAGGCTATTATCTAGTGGTCATCTTTCAGAACAGCCGCTCTTCATAGACATGACAGGAGAAGAGTTTTCCTATTACATGTCATATTCGGACTATTGTTGTCTGATAACTGATGCTCTTGCGCCTTTCCATGAGAGTCCTTGGTGGACCAGAGTTTGGGTAAGTGTCTAGCATGGCGCGTTTTTATATTATCCTTTGCTCTTGTTGGTAAGGATTAACCGATGGAAATACGCCGCAGACTGTCCAAGAGATTATCCTTCCTCCTAAAGCTACATTTATTTATGGGCCCATTTCAGTCGACATGTCGTGTCTTCTAGAAGCGTTTGCTAACCTCTCTCGCCACATGTTTGAGCCTTGTTGTTCGGAAGTGTTTTCCAGATGCAACTTCAGAGTCAGAAAATGTTTCAGAAAGCTAGGGAGCGTTCTAACCAATATAAAGAATATGAGAACTAGCCATGACAATGGTACTAATGTAGATCTTTGGGAGGCATTGACTACATTTCGCGCTCGGCATGCGACAGATCACCGGGATAAAGTTCATGGTATTCTCGGTCTAGTTAATTCGTGGTTGGGGCAACCTATCGTCCCTAATTACAGGACCACAACTGAAGCCATATACTGTCAGGCAGCCATCTTTACTGCAACAGGGTCTCAATCCCTGCTCCCTCTACATTTTCCACTTCAAAAGCACGCCTGTCCCAACCTTCCCTCATGGTGCGTGGACTGGACTGCAGCCAGTGGTCTCGCTGATCAGCTCAACGTCTATCAGTGGAGCCAACAGCCGTTCAAAGCTTTTTCGATCCAGCAAGCGGATCGCTGTCATATAGTTCCTCATGCCGACAACCGCATCCTCGAAGTCCGCGGGCGTCGTTGCGATAGAGTGGCATCAGTGGGCAAAATATGTCAGGGAGATGAGCCCAATGAGAAACGTAAGGCATATTGCGATTGGTTTCTCCTCGCGGAACTTCATCGAGACCCCTCGAGGATGTATCGTTCCGGGTGCTCTTATTTTGAAGCCTTCTGGAAATGTCTGTGTTGGGACATGATCCTGCATATGTCAGAGACTGCAGGAGTGGCAATTTCTTCAAGAGCTAAAGGTACCGAGAGCTACGAAGCTTTCGTGGGCTACTGCCACAGTTCCCCCAAATCCATATTTAACCCAAAAGGGCTCTCTCAGGTGGACCGAGAGGCTGTACTTCGGCACGACCCGAGATTTCAAACGACGGAGGACGCGAAATGGGGTCAATACTCACAGTCCGATTTTCTCGTTGAACAGTGGATCAATGGCTTGACTTTAAATACGACCTTTTTTGTGACGGATTCAGGGTACTTAGGCCTCGGTCCGCCTGGAACAAACGTAGGAGACGAGGTGTGGTGTTTGTTTGGTGGTCATATGCCCTTCATTCTCAGACCGGTAGCAACAACACGGGAGGCGGTTTTGGGGCCGGGCCAAAAACGCCTTCATCAAGTCCTTGGAATTTGCTACGTGCATGGGATTATGAATGGTGAAGTCACAAACGATGAGAGTATTCCAGAAGAGGTGCTGTACTTGGCCTGAAAAACTAATTGGTAGTTTGGCTACCACACAAGTCACACCCACGAATTGGTATCCTATAAATGACTGTATATGTGTTACTATTTCAGTTGCTCATTATTCGAGAGGTTTCTTTTCCATTTCTATCTTCTCTTAGCCTATCTGAACCATTTAGTAGGCACACATGTCTACTTCATTTTGGAGTGGGGCTATATTGTTTAATTTCTCACCTGAATTCATGGGGAACTAAGTTGGGCAGATTTGGCTGGCTATTTTGTAATATAATAAGAACATGCCTAGGGTTTCTTAAAGTATTCCCCCCCCAAGCAATGAATGCATCACCGTTGCTGCATATGTATCTGAATGGCAGTCACTGACTTAAACAAATATATCATAAATCATTGAATACATATATGGAGATTGCTTCTATAGGTTCAACACATGACTAAACCGGCTTAATATCCCAGTACTTGTAGCCTCATTTATATGGTATTGCCCTCGGAAATCTCTCCTCGTTTCGTCCATTAATCTTATCCCGCCGAGTCTTACTTAAGAGTATGAAAGTTAATGGAAAATTGAGGAAGAGATTCGTTTCTCTCCATGTCTTTTCTTTATGCCTGATAAGAGCTTCCTGTGTAGTTCTATTGAACTACAGCAGGAGCTGATTTTGCGAGTAATCCATACACAGAGGGCGGCTCCGGCTTGTAATTGAAATGTGGAAGGGTCTCAACTTCGGCTTGTTTGGCAATTTTCTTTCGATGATTTAGGAGTAGGTGAGGATAATGATAAAGAGGATGAAGACGACAAGGATATTTGGGGGGGCGGTGAATTTGATAACTACCTTGGCGGGGCCCATGAGGGTGATAAAGTTGATGAATTAAGAAGGATGGAGAGTAATAAAGTGTGGCATATTGACTAACTCCGGCGTCGTTATTGAAGGACCTGAATTTAGGAAGTTGTCTGCATCAGAGATGTACGAATTACATCCTCGGTTGTAGGTATTAGCCCGATCTAGTCCAGAAGACAAGAAATTACTCGTTAAACGCTTCAAGGAGCTTGGAAAAACATTTGCTGTGAACGGAGACGGCACCAATGATGGCCCCGCGCTAAGGACAGCCGATGTGGGCTTCTCAATGGGTATCTACGGAACTGATGTGGCTGAAGAAGCTTCATCCATTATTCTCATGGACGATAACTTTCTTCATAGTAAGAGCGATTGAGTGGGGGAGAAGTACAAACGATGCGATCAAGAAGTTCAGGTAGCCATTTCATAGGCTTCTAACGTGGAGATTGATATATACTCAACATTAGAGGGCTAATAAGGTCTGTAGCAGCATGGTTGATATGATGCGGTAGTTGTGGCTCACTCTAAGTATGGTGAAGGGAGAGATTGGGATACAACCGGCTTTGAGGCAGAGAGATAGGTGAGATCACCTTACTACAGATTACATGACCTAAACAGAGCAACCCCACGGCCACTCTTGTAATAGGGCCTTGGCTCTCTGGCGCCATGAATGCAGGCTTGGCTTGGCAGGGTCTCTTTGCTGCGAAATGATCCAGTGTCGTGTCTAGCATCTTGGAACCCTGGTTCCACACCAATGATCGGCTGCGGGCCTAATGCATGAGGCGGTGGCAGTGTTCCCCTGTTGCCAGCAAATGCTGCATCAAGTCATTTCCGAAGCTGCGATAGCTGCTAGCGGACACATGGGGGAAAAAACCTCTCTTCTGTCTCTTACAGGCCTAGGATACTTAGGTTCCATTGGGCTCTAGATGTCGGTGATGAGGTGCGGGATCAATGCGCTCAAGTAGATCCATTCGGTAGCCTACTACGAACTGAGGAGTGAAGTAGAAGATATGTCAATGTTTATGTCCGCAATCGTAAGGTCCTTTGAGCGAGTTGGCATAGTAGATTGATGATAATCTGACTCCTCCTGCATTACTATTAGGCAGTACCTTAGTCCTTGGTACAGGTACGCGATGATTGTTCCTAATCCTTGAGAGTGGGGATCTTTCCGTGTTTACATATCATTCGACAGAATCATTCTCCTATAAGCATATCAATGTGGTTTTTTTTTATGGTTTGACACATATATGCCAATTTTCATCCCAAAGCATCTGTGACGGGAGAACTTAAGCAAGGGGCTAGTTCACCACAACTTGCAAACCACAGCACATGTACCTACGTATCCTTGATCAACCACTCTCACACCCAACGCCGTCATCAGTATAGGCGAGCTTTCTAGCGAAACTGCACAACATGTCCGAACCCTTATTGAGTAACTCTGCTGCGCCCGATGGACCTCACGAATGGGTATTTATAATACCACGCTGTCGCAGCCTGCATGGGTTGATGTCTTTATTGATCAACATGAATGTTCTCCTCATATTTGTGCCTTTAGGTTTCTTTGCGGCAAGACTATCGTGGAATGATGTGGTAGTTTCGGCGTTCAACTTCCTTGCTATCATACCACTATCTTCTCTCGTCTCTAACGCATCAGACACGATTGGAAACCGATGGGGGGGCTTGGTCGGAGGGCTAGTGAATGCCTCGTTTGGAAACACAGTTGAGCTGATTGTTAGTATCCCGAGTATTCGCAATTGTAATACAGAGTTAGGATAAGGTGGAGTTGCTGACTAGAACCAGGTCGGGATAATGGCCCTCAGTCGGGATGAGATCAGAGTCGCGCAGTCCATCATGCTGGGAAGCATTCTCTCAGACATATTGCTTGCAAGTTTAATCTGCCTATCCATATGGAAACTACTAATGCGTCCCCAGGTCCAAGGTATCTGCATCATAGTAGCAGCCCGGGGCACTGGCGTCATTTTTGCCAACTCAGCAGTTATCGACTCAATGTCCTCACTAATGCTCATAACTGTAATGGCTTTAGTCCTGCCCACTGCACTGTACTCGACTTTCCCTGACACGGCGACCGACATCGATAGCAAGATACTGTCCTTTAGTCGCAGTACCGGTGTCGCAATGCTCCTAATTTATGTTGCATATCTCTACTTTCAACTGAAGACGCACGCTTCACTGTTTATGAATGAGGAAGACGACGATGATCACAGCGATCATGGAAATATATCTGAAACTCCAGCTGCTGAACGGAATCAGGATATTGACGAATATAGGAACGAAGACTTGCCGTCAATACGTGAGGTTGGTATTGCAACAGTCGTCCTAGTCATATCGGGCTTACTGATTGGGAGATGCACATACTCCTTTATGGAAAATCTGGACGGCATGTCTGATACATTAGGTATCACCAAAATCTTCGTGGCCCTCATCCTTATCCCCCTAGCTAGCAACGCACCAGAGCTCACGCAAGTTGTAGCTGCATCGCGCAAGAAGAGAATCAACTATGCTATCAGCGTCATAATCGGCAGCATCTTGCAAATTTCGCTTTTTGTCCTTCCCGTCCTCGTCATCACCGGTTGGATCCTGAACATTGCTATGGACCTCTACTTCAAGGCATCACAGACATATATGCTACTATTTGCCATCACTGTTGTGAATCAGGTGTTACAGGATAGGCAATATACCTATCTGCACGGCACCATGCTCCTTTCTGTGTAAGTATACCCGGTGCAAAGTATAGACTTCTAAGAGTAACTAATTTTAAGTATTCTAGCTATGTTATCATCTCGGTGGCATATTATATTGATCCCTATAATTAACACTTGGCATGCTTCTAAAAGTGGTGTCGGCGGTTCTATTCTACCTAGTAGAAGTCTCTTCGAGCGATTCGGGGCGGACATAGAAGGCTACAGCAATAGAGACATATCTAATCAAAGGCAACCATTAATAACTATGCATACTTTGATGGCTTCAGAGACATATGAGACAAACGACTTCTGAGTAGATGTGAACAAGCCATGAAGTAGTGTACTTACGTTCCCATGAGCATACATCCTTCAAAATACGTCGTCTTGCCATACTGCAGCAGATACGTCATGACGATAATTGCCATTAAGAAGACAACAGTTTCAAAAAGCCCAAAGTCCAGCGCAATGGGCTTTCCCATGAGCCAGCCTAACAGAATGAGTAGTGGTATGATGACCAAAAGCGTGTCCAATATGTTGGTCATGACTGAGCGAATAACAAAGTCAAGTTGACTCATCCGCTGATCTTCGTGGTTCCTCTCGGACCGAGCATGCTTGACTATTGCCACGGACTTCGCCAGACTGGCAGCCAGCGGCGTGATGACGAAACCAATGAATGACTTAGTGATGTTCAGCTTTTGGACTGCGGCGTCGATGCTGGTCACTAGTGAACTGGCGCATATAGCTGCACAGGCGATGCTACTTATGAAGCTAAAGCTCAAGACCAGTGACCTAGTCGAAGCGTATTTAATACCGTCTAATGTTGACTCTATACGGGTTTCTGGATTGAACTGTGCCGCATTGGGATTCTTTGGGAAGAGTTGGGCGTGACTGAGGAAACGGAAGTTAAGATAAGTGAGGAAGAGGCAGAGTAAGACTGTAGCTGTCATGCGTGAGAGTAGGAGCACGTCTTCAGAAGGATCATTGACGGTGCCCACGTTCTGACCATCCCGGAATTCCTTGTCGGCGGCTGTGGCCATGGCGGCTGGAATGGCTAGACAAAAGGAGGAGACCAGAACAAGAGATGACAACACAGCAGTTTTAGTCTTGCTGAAGGGCTCATTTTGCTTTCCATAGCTTGCGCGCAAGAAGCTACCACCCAATACCTGCAATATTGTAGGTCAGTGGTATAGCGCGTATTAGGATGACCAAACAGAGCCGTGTTCAGTTGGCAATCATACAAAAAGTGAGTATATAAGCGCGCTGCCTATAACCATCTGTTGGACGAGCGAGATCTCGCTGTGATATAATCCAGTGATACCAAGCTATCAACGAAATTGTTGTCAGAGGATAAGAGGCTAAGTTGATGGGGCATCTTCGTACAGTCAATTCTATAGCATTGCCAAAGACGGTTCTGATAAAGCCTCCCCAGAAACCCGCATTTCTGGTCAGCACCAACACAGTGAAGATGGATAATGCTGCAAGCGGCACTAGAGCTATCATGTTGAGCAAAAAAACAGCCACCGCAGGCAATCCTGCAAACCGGGAAACGATGGCGATTGGTACGATGAGGAGCAATAGCTTAGACGGCCCATTATGACTTTCGTGGATCATGCTAGCAAGCTCGCGGTATGTTTCGGATTGCCTCAGAGAGGTGTTTCCTCTCAATTGACCCGGCTCGCTGCTTTGAACAAGGCTTGAGGCGTAAGAAGATTGTCTATGCTGAGGTTCGCACTGGTTGGCTGTGTCCGAAGAGCCATTGCAGTTGTCAGGAGCCATATCTTCAATTAAGGAGTCTCTCCCTACATGACTTCGGCGGCGGATCATGGGGATAGCCGGTTGGGGATTCATGGATACGATAAACAGTCCAGGAGTTGCCTGGTAGTTTTGGCTGAGGAGTGCTTGAATCAACCCGTTGTATGTATGACAACGGTCTAAGTAAATACTCTGTACAAGTACCTGTTCCAGGAAAATTCTATATACGAGGGGCTCGGTACTGCCGAGCACAGCCTCATATGCAACATGAGTAGATCAAGGTCTTAACGCCTAATGGGATAGTGGTATGGAGTATATAGTGATATACTATGTACTCAACCCTGGTAGGATGCATTAGATGTGGTAATATGTATCACTAATTGACCAGTCTCTTGCAGACATGGGCCATACTAGACCAGCGGCATTCAATATCCGTGTCCACTATCCTCATGCTTTGAGGTGATAGAGAATGAGGCAGTGCAACAAAGGTTTTGTGGGTCTAAACACCACTAAATACAATAAACTCACTCCTATGCTCAGGGCTCCTTGTATTCCAGAATGGAATGGGGAATCAAAGTTTTTTTTACTATCAGGTATGGTGGTGACACGTCTATACAACTTACAGATGCTTAACAAATCCCCTCCCTAATTGCTGTGTTGCTCAAGACGGCTGCCATGTCCCCCGACGTTCCCCCTCCACGGCCTTCTCATGACAACCCTGCCACGGAGACTTCTCTGATGCTCACGGCAGGCCGAAACCCAGAAATAGAAGCACATCGATTGCGAGACCTCTATTTTCGCTTCCACAGCGAAACTCGACATACCCTAAGTTCGACAATCCAGTGCAGTCGGACCAATGTCCTCCTCTTCTGTGTGCCTCTTGGCCTCATGGGCCCTGGGTGGGGATGGCCTGCTTCTGTTGTGTTCTTGCTCAACTTTCTTGCTATGCTGCCTCTCGCCTCTATCTTAACCTTTGCGACTGAGCAGCTGGCTGCTGTTGTTGGGTCCGTGGCTGGAGGATTGATCAATGCCACTTTTGGTAATGCTGTAGAGATGATCGTATGCATTCGTTTCCAATACATCCGTCTAGTGGACTCTAATAACAATTTCCTATAGGTTGGAATTAGTGCTCTGAAGGAAGGCGAAATCTCCATTGTCCAGTCGAGCATGATAGGAAGCATTCTATCATCCATCTTACTAGTAGAACAGCCTACAATTATCCTTCACCGTCCTATTTGTGTTCACTTGCTAACGATGTGGTAGATTCTCGGCACTACCTTTCTCCTCTCAGGATTGGGAAAGCGAACGGTTGATATCAATATCGACGTGGTCGGCATCTTGACATCGCTCATGATCATCTCGTGCTTCTCCCTCATCATGCCCTCAGCGCTCCACATAGCCGATTCATCTTCCAGTAACACCAGCAGCCCCTCAAGTGATTATATACTAACCCTATCGCGCATCACATCCCTGGTACTACTTGCATTTTACTTGCTATATTTGTACTTCCAATCCATAACACATGCAGAATTATTCATGGAAGAGGGTGAGGAAGAACCAGCTAATAAACTTCACGCTGTATCGAGCTGCATTGTGCTTATCCTCGCTACACTCGGGGTGGCTCAGTGTTCAGACTGCCTTGTTGACAGTGTTGATGGCTTTGTCGAAACACTAGGCGTGAGTCGCAGTTTCGTTGGTCTTATTATCGTGCCCATCGTGGGCAACGCTGGGTGTTTCGTCGGCACTGTGCAATGGTCCAGATCGAATCGCATTAATCTTGCCGTCTCAGTCATCGTGGGGAGCACGTTGCAGATATCGCTGTTTGTTACACCATTTCTCGTGGTCGTCGGCTGGATCATCGGCAAAGACATGTCTCTGCAGTTTGATAGCTTCGAGACCATCGTCATAACGATGTCGACCCTTGTGGTCAATTATCTAGTGCGGGACGGGGAGACTAATTATTTTGAAGGCCTACTTCTGGTTGCTACGTATGTATCTATTGACAAGCTGCTCTGCCCTGACTGATGAAATTTGTAGATATTTTATCATTGCCATCGCATTCTTCGTGCACCCTGATGAGGTCCAATCAATCTAGTCAAAAACACGGATATAATACAGCTACTATGATGACACTGGAATCAAAGGCTTGATGAGCCAGAACAATACTCTATAAATAATATATCGTCTCGATCATGGAGAATCGATCTCTAGTATATATACAACTTGAGTACAGAGTTCGTATTGCATTATAAGTTATTATCCCTATGGGCTGAGTGCCAAATGATATGCATTTGTGCTGCCACATATGGCAGCAATCCGCTTAGTAAATGCCGTAACCCTTAGTTTCCACAGTTTTCGAGCTGGAAGAAAGCAGACATCTGCTAGATGGAATAGAACGAAAGAAAATGCTAGGACACTGTGAAGGTAGCCTTATAGAATTTACATACTAGGGGATCGCTGAAATAGTGCCAAAGGCCAAGAAAGTTCTCATACTACTGGGTGAATGAATCAGATTCCGTCATTATTAATTTTTCTCTTGCAACTGTAGCCTTAAAAGATTTCATGTTTACAAAAAACATTGTACCATTTCAAACGCTTAGTTGCGTACCACACGGAGAGATTCAGAGGACGCTTTGAGTCATGACCCCCATCCCCAGTAGTCAACGTTTCATCTTCTAGATAATGACACGCTTGACAGTATCAGCAACACTAGCAGGCTGCAATCCCAGAAGATTATTAGACAAAGCCTCATCTCTAGAATAGTTCGATTTGAGATTGGGCGTATTGCTGAAGCTGGTGGCTCGAACTAGAGCGAAGGCACCGCTGAAATCGCCAGCACCTAGCTTTTTAAGCGCAGTCTCAACCTGTTCTTTGGTAGTAGTGCGGTTGACAGCCCATTTAGTGCCAGTAGCCTCTTCCAGAGCAGCTAGGATCTCGTTCTGCGTTGTTTCAACGGAAGAGACGAAGAGATACTTATTGGAAGTCTCCTCGGGCTTCTTCAGCACCGATGCAACAGCTGCACCAAGATCCTTCTCGTTTGTCAGGGTGAAGCTTTTATCACCATCATCCCAAATAGTAGCAATCTTGTTAGCAAGATCGTACTCAAGGAACCCATTGCCCAGACCCTGTAAGAAATCGTTAACCAACTTTTGTTCCTTTAAATAATGTCATAAGTCTTGGAATTATTGCTTACCCAGTCGAACAAGAGAGAGGTAGCAACGCCTGTCCAGGAAAAGCCAGCGGATTCTTTAGTCTTTAGATACTCGATTATATCTGATTTCTGACTAAAGAGGGGCAGCAGTTGAAGGACAGCGGTATCTTGACTACTGGAGGAAAATTCAGAGGGTAGAAAACGCTTGACTCCTGCATCAATGGCTGCATCGATAAGCTTTTTCTGTTTGCCGAAATTAGTGGCACCAAGGGCAGAAATGACGGCATCCTGGCCCTTGAAAGCAGATTGGAGATCGCTGTCTGAGAAATCTGACTTGAAAACGGCGACACCGGATGGGAAAGTAGCAGAACTATCCTTGCGGGAGATGACAGTAATGATGAATCCGCCGGCAGAGATCAAGCCCTCAAGGATGATCTTACCGATGCTTCCACTAGCCTAGATATTTGTGAGTAAGTGATGGATGTCAAGATTGATATCAAGATTTATCACCACATACACCAACGAGAGCGACGTTCGTGTAAGCCATGTTATATTTAGGGTGAGATAGTTCGAAATATAAGATGAATTGTGATACTAATTGATATAAGTGGGGGGGAAAGGCTCTATTCGTGGTGCTATTGACTGAATACTTGCTGAGAAAGTGATGAAACCGGTGGTTTTAGTCGATCAAAAGCCTTGCTCGTCTTAGAGAAGAAGAGACGAAGCATGGACGGCATGCTTGATACTTATATTTGTGAAAAGTGGTCTTGACAAAGGTTCGCGTATGCAACAAAGTCTTGGTATATTACTAAAGGACAATTACCAAACAGTATCCATGTACATGTTGATATGCGATGTCTTGGTAAGAGCACTGTGGCCCAACCGTCGGTCATCCAACAGTGCAAGTGTAAGCCAATTCGCTCTGAGAAATGCATGGGAAGTAATTACACCATCCACGGTGCCAGCTCCTAGACAGTCTCTAGACTCATTTCTGTTTGAAGTACGATGGCCAGGTGAGACCCCTGCATCTGTGACCCCCTGCCTTATACAATCATGAGGCTGTCATTGGTCGGATCTCCACTGAATCCTCCACAAACAAATGGCGTTTCTGCTTAGAAATGCGGACACAGCTCCGTCAAGTCCGCTCTCACCAATGGGAGCATCCTCCGCACCTCTATTACAACCTCTGCGTCATTTGGCGTCCCACGGCTTCACGCAACATTGCGCAATCACAGGCCATCTGCTCGATTACTTGCGATTCTTATTGGCCGTTTTAATCCAAATTGCAACAGTTTTCGGTTACAGACAGTGCTTTCAATAGTTCGACCGTTGGCTACGGAGCATCTTCTGCGTTAACTGCAACTTCATTGCCCAGTAACGATAGGGAAGCCAACGTCCAATTCAACTCAACGGTCTAAAAAGTCATTAGTCCCATGACTCGCAGAGTGATTGCGTCAGGACGCTCGTGTCTTGAGTGCCGTCGCCGCAAGATTAAGTGTGACAGATCTTTGCCATGCGCCTATTGCACACGAACCAAACTTCAATGCATATATCCTTCGAGGCGACCACAGATACTTCATGATGAAGAGAGCGCCTTAGCAACTAGAGTGCAGTCCATTGGATGTGCTTTGAAGTCACTGGAACAAAAGGTAACTCATATCGGGAGCTTGCTACAAGTGAGCCCAGAAACATCAAACATAGAGGGTCACTGTGAACAGGGCCACCAATCGCCTCTCGTAAGGATCCAACAAAGCAAACAGAATTTTCTGTCAAGTTATACGTGCTTACAACTCTTCTTAGAGCGCCGCAAAGGACTCCCCAAGTCCAAGCTCATCTTCTTCACGGAACAACTCACAACTAAATCAAGAACAATCCAGCACCTCTGTTCGCTTAACAAGGTCCCATCTCTTGCAGTCATTGTCATTCAATAACCCGATTGATGCGTCACAACCCCTTGAATCACTTCACCCCCCTCCTGCAAGCATATTGTTCATATGGCAGACATATCTCGATGTAGTTGACCCTCTCCTCAAGATTTTTCACGTTCCCTCTACACAAAGACATGTCATGAGCATATGCCAGGGTCGAAAGTCTCCAGATGCAGCTACTGAATGCTTAATGTTTGCAATCTATTACTCCACGATCATATCTATTTCATCAGCAGAATGTCGTCAAGAACTTGACGAAGAACGGTCTGTTCTGCTACAGCGGTATGTGGTCAAGTATCCTTTTCATCTTTAAACGGTAGTAATAAAACTCAGATTCCGGAAGGGGGTCGAGCAATCTCTTATACAAGTCAATTTCTGGAGCTCCCGGAGTATAACCGTCTTGCAAGCATTCATTATATATTTGGTAATTATCCCTTGATAAATGCATAATAGATGGAGGTATTAACCAACCTTTTGTTCTTATTCAAGATTTGTGGACGGCAAGACGAAAATGGCCCCGATGTTTGCTCTCTGATTGGGGTCGCTATTGGCAATGCTATGAAGTTGAGTCTTCATCTAGACATCCCTGGTATGCGCCCATTTGATCTCGAAATGCGGCGCCGACTATGGTGGCAGATCTGTACTTTGGACGTTCGCATCGCCGAAGATTTCGGCGGTGAACCATTTATCCTTGAACCAAGCCTTCATGCAGAGCTACCACTCAACATTAATGATACTAGCTTAGATCCTGATATAAGCGAACTGCCAAGCCCACAACCTGGGAGGAGTGAGATGCTGTTCAGCCTGGTTCGATTCGAAGTGAGCAACTTCGCGCGCCGAATTGCCTTTTCGGACAGATTCTGCCAGAGCAACGGCTATCCGATGCTGAATGAAGAGCAAAAGTGCCAATCAGTGGACCAATTTAGAGAGCGCATTGAGAAGCAGTACCTATCCTATTGCCACAAGGCAGTTCCATTGGATTATATCACGGTTAAGAGCAGTCGACTCATTCTTGCAAAACTGAAGTTGGCCGCTTGCAAGCCGCGCGCCAACCAGAATCACGGTATTCCCTTACGAGCCAACTATCGCAAAGCTTGCGAGGAAGTATTGGAACACGTTCACGTCTTGCGTAGGTATAGCAAGGGGCGACGATGGCTGTGGCTATTTCAGACATACGTGGAATGGGATGTTTTGGCGTATCTTTTATTAGATATTTGCATCTCACTCTCATTACCACCCTCCAGCGAGCCGTTAACTGTACCATGGGACGTCATCGATGAAAGTTATAATCACTGGAAAAATAGCCCAGATGTTTATCGGGACCGCCGCTGGGCTAATATCGAGAAACTTCGCTCACAAGCGTTGTTCGTAATAGAGAAGGCGCAAAATACGACACCAGCACCCCAGACAAATCCATCTTGCTCCGCTCAGCGCCAGTCCAATGCCATGTTAGGCACCACCGTCGCGGTGCAGCAACAGTATGAGACAAGTCCAGATGCTACGAGCAGCCAACGTACTGCTACTACGGCGGAAAGTATACAAACTCCTCTGTATTTGGAACCTATGGAGAGCAATGCACAGACACAACAATCCCGCATTATCAATCTCCAAATCTCCGAGTCTAATAATTCGGCTGATCAAGCGCCCCAGATGTGGACTCTCGCAGAGGCAGCTTCAGCGGAAGAAGTTCAAGTTCCAGCTGATACAACAGACTTACCCGGAGCAGGGACCGTTTGTGAGTGGAGTAGTTATCTCATAGAGAGGTACTGGGAGGTTGCCGGACAGGGATATGACAGCTCTAACGCATGACATTTAAAGTTAGTAGTAGATAGCATGTACTCAATGATGACACTAAGCTCTGCTGTATACTTGTGCGCACTTCTACATGCACGCTGGGGCCAGCAAGTGAGGTTAAGATTGCGGTCCTGGGTAATTACCAACAATCAACATTGAAACCTTGACTGGGAATTGGAATTGATGGAGCAGTGTCTGAGGGCAATATCGTAGCAATGTTTCGTTAGTTGATTCAGGTGAACTAGGATGAATTGTATTTAATGTTATTAATCTTATCACGATAGTGCCGCACCTTTCATGTCGCTCATAATTACAAGTGTGTCCCCGTCTTTTAATGCTGATGGCATTTGAGGTTACATAAAGAAATCCCAGAAATCGGACGGCATCGCGGAGAACGGAGGAAGGCTCCGTAGAGTGCGATGCTGCCTGACTCAAGTAGATCATGAACTAGACAGGCCCCTAACAGCTAACACGCGCATTACCCTACGCGAAAAAAGAGTTACACAGTTCTTTCGGATCCCGCAGTATACGGTCTACATTTACAAATCGGAAGAACCCCAAACGATTACCATAACATTGCTTTCCAAATGTGATGGCATACAAGCCTCAATTTCTAAGGGTACTTATAAGATGAAACCAAGCGAGTGGTTTTTTTTTTTTAAAAAAAAAAACACTGGCATTGCTATTAGCATACCTTATGTAGGGAAATAAGAGAAATGGGCCATTTCCGTTTGAGAAAAATGTGCTCCTTTGTTCCGATCCCCGTCAACAAACACGAGTTGCTATTGAAGATATTAGTAGAGGCTATAGACAAGCACTGGAGGTCATTATGATGATGCAAGACCAGACTACTTTGGCTGAAGAAGCTAAGGCAATGCTGTCGATCCAACGAAAGCTGAAGTACATTTTACAATATGCGTCTACCAGTCTTAGTTATTAAGGATAAGCCGCTAATCAGACAGCCAGTGCACTATTTTTGGGCATTCAGCTATGTCCTTCCGCCGTATTTTTCAAGGCAGAAACTTCTTAGACTAAATATCTTGAAGGGGATGCGATATGCTTAGGCACAATTCACGGTCGTCGTATCATACGTTTATAGCTAGCGTTGAAGCCCCACGAGATCTGACCCTACATAATCCCAACATGACATGATAAGCCATGCAGGAATGGAACGAACCGATAGGCAGGGGGGGGTTCTGAAGGCTTCTGGATTGAAATTGGTTGTGTTGATATTGAGTGGCTGCTACTCCGAAGCTTGCAGTGGTCGCAGCGCGCGTGCCGAACACCGCCTCACAAAAGGCCTTGCAGTGTACCTATATAAGAAACGCTATTAGTGTTTCGCTAAAATACTCGATCCATTAGTTACATGTTCATGATTGATGAGTAGCAGCTTGCGAGTCTCGCTAAGTTCTCATCCCTCAGACACAACGATTTTCCAGCATCCTAAGGAAGAGGAGGGGAGCGAATCCTATGAGTCCACAAGCTCAATCGGCTAATGCAAGCAAGACAGGATGGGGCAGTGGGCGGGTTCGTGTCACAATACCATACGTCAATCACGGAGCAAGGTCGCGATTAATCAATCTTGCATCTCTGCAGCTATTTTTAGTTGCTACCCAGTATTATTATCTGATTTGGTGTTGAGCGCCCAATTTCTGTGTAAATCGATCTCACCTTACTATAAAACAAGCACTAGGTTTAGATGAAGAATAGTACGTGATGTGCATCTCGAAATCATTCTTTCGATGGTTTTACAAAATAGCCAAGCCGGCCCGCATTAACTAACAGTTTCGCGAGGTATCGATCGGCTTTTGGGGACAGAAGAGACCTTCCTATTTCCCACTCTCCAGCATGCCCACTCTTGCGAGCCAAATCGATATCTTGACTGTTCCTCTTAAATACCCTCTATCTATCTGAAATCTGGCCTGTTACTGTACTCCAATTAACCTACCCCATCATTAAAATTCTATATTTAATGATGAGGTATAGCCTTGTCACTTTATGAGTTTCATTTAATACCATAATATTGACCAGGCGGAGCCTTTGTATAATAATACTATTAGTAGTATAAACACGGTAACACGGCTATGCGGCTCCAGTATTTCTAGAGAGAATAGATATGGGCCCAAGGGGGCTTAGATGAGATTTTAGCGCTGATCTAGTTAAGTAATCATCATTAAGTACGAAGGCATCTGTGAACTGATCATACGTGCTACGGGGATTGCGATGCCCAAGCTTTTGTACCACAAACAGACACCGATAATACAATAGTAAATGCTTTGTAGGCGATGGTGCTTTAACATAGCAGCTTGAGTGCCGAAGCTTGTTATAGATCAATGTCTTTAAAACGCATTAAGCGCTCTTAGTACATGTGCTATAAATTCTGCTACTCTGGCAGATTCGGACTTGACCTGCGGGACTAACTTATCTAAGTAAACAAAAACAAGTTGATTCAGCCTTACCCACTAAGCATAAGGCAGTCATGTCTTTCGGCATCTAAAACTCGGTGCGTCGTAAACTTTTAGTCCCAATTTAGAAATCTGGGTCGGGCATGGTTAAATTTGTTCTCCAATGGAGGCTGAAAAACAAACTGCGTGCCCAAGCGCCTTACTAGGTACCGATTGGTACCAGTATATTGTATCTAGTGTATATAATACTTGGCACATGCTGGATCTGCACATCTCAAGCCACTCACCTTCTTACCTGGCACTCAAACAATCTTTCGCCCATTCTGCAGCCACTCCTTTCTTCACTCACTCATTTGTCTTTTATTCTATTTTACGACCTCTGAATAATCATCAACATGTCTTCCAAGGAGAAGAATGGTGAGACTACCTGGGCCCATGGCCTATTCGATTGTTGTAGCCCAGGTGGGCTTTGCTTCATGACAACCTGTTGTCCCTGCATTACATACGGAAAGGCTCAGCACAGAATGAAGCATGGTAACTTGGATGACTACTCATGCTGCAATGCATCTGTAAGTTTTGCTCTCAACAGAGTGAACCCCTGGAGGATACATGCAATACATTGCAGGATATAAGCTAACAAAGCTCCGTCTATAGTGCGTTATCTTCGCCTGCCTTGCTCACTGCGGTCTTCAATGCATCCCTACCACGATGCAGCGAGGAGACATTCGCGAAAAACATGGCCTTGAGGGTGGTTGCTTTGGAGATTTTTGCAAATCCTGCTGGTGCAATTGCTGCGTCTTAATACAGAATGAGAAGGAATTGGAACAGCGTGAAGCCCTCTTGAAAGGTTCATCTGAGCCGTACAGAGCCAATCCTGGTATGGTGTACTCAGGCGCAAGCACACATTAACTCGGGCTTTGTATGAAGCCCGAGATTCGAAATGAGTTGGGATCTGCAATCCCGTTGCAGATTATTGATTGAGACCCGCATACACGGGAAGACGGCACCCGCAACCCACAACCCAACGCAATCAGGCTCTCATATGTACCAGAGGATTAGAGCGTGGCATGAAGTGGCGGACAGTTTCAGACACCCAAGAAGCTGGAAGAGTTTACAGGACAGTGATTTTTACCGATTTTTATAAACGGGACTCAGTTAAGGTTATTCCCCCAGTGTAATTGCTTCAATTACAGTTTCTTATGGATGTATTGTATGAGTATAGCGTTAGGTATATTGGGTTTTTGGAATTTTATTTTACATTACTTACCTGGGGTAATGAGATTTGTTACTTTTTTTTTCACATCGCTTATCAACTAACCTTGTGCCGTCTGCGCACTAATTGGGGCTGTGTTCAGCTGCTCCATACGTAGTGTGATACAACTGTTTAGGAACCAAAAGAAGTAGGTGGCTAGCTGTAGGAGCACTAGTTTGGACTTCTCATTATTGGTAAAGGTCTCATATGATGCCATGCAAGGACTACGAAACCATTGTTTGAGGCTAAATGTTTCAGCTGGAATCCAGCGCTTGTGCACACATTCAGCTTTGCACGATGCTTACGGATCCGCAGTGATGGCATGTATACATGGACAGACCAAATTTCGTCTGTCTACAAATTCTTAGTGTGGTGAGCCTACTAAATACTATAAATATTTATCTGCGCATGTGGTTAAGTGCAAGAGACATCTTTTTATTACACTGAAAATTACAATATAGAGAGAGAGACGATTTCAGGCATATACGATTGTAGGTAGGGGAAACTCGGTGTCTAATTATGTCTTTCGCTTTTTGCGCACTTGGGTTCTAAACTCGGAGGCGCACTGTTCTGTCCCCCAAGGCCCTTCCACTAGCTCCAACCCGTCTCAGTAACACTGTTTGTTATGCAACATGATCCCATCCATACTTTTTTTTTTTTTTTGCTGGTATATAGTTCGAAGAATGATAACCACCTCAAAAGCGCTTTCCCTTTATAACGCTCCTTCATCAACCCTCTTGTTGCCTATGTGCATGAAGAGGGTGGCATGATGTCAGTGTTCCTATTACTCAAGCATATCAGTACAGGTGTTAAGTTACCTCACCACGGATTGAGTTGTAATTCACTCAGTATACGCTTTGATGTGTAAAATCGCTGACAGAGCAGGTGCTTCCTGAACCAGCATTCAACGGAATGAGCTCTCAAATTTAGACTTCGCCGACTGTGTGGTTTTTAACCGGGTTCCCGGTGCGTCTGCAGGGTAGCCAACGCCTGCCCTGATGGTCAGTCCTGCCTGGCCCAGGGATGGAACTTGGCCAGGATAAAAGACCCTAAGAGGCTTATGGCAAGTAAAATTACAAGATGAACTCACATAGTGGCTTCTTTTTAAATGGTATGAGTAGTTGTACAAAGAGACATGCCAACGCTGATCTGACGAAAAGCAGGCAAGAAATGGGAAGTAGTAACCCTGTGCTTATTTTGAATTGGTATGATCTATGTATGAGAGCTCTTGTTTAAATGGAACGCGTATAGTAAAATAACTCAGTCCTTTTGTTGGAATATGAGCCTTGAGCCTATGTTTTTTTCTTTGGATAGTCTACTCTAATACTGTCATTCTGATAATCTAGCATCCGACCTATGGCGTTGGTCCATAGGTTAGACTAAATAGAGAACAAACGAGCCAATTCGTCGACCTCCTCGTTCAACCTTAGTGACACCTCTTTATCGACACCGAAATTATATTGAAAAAGCGATTGTAATACACCAGACAATGATCTGTCCCGGAATCTACTACGAGCCATCTTACATATCGCTCTCGTAGGAGAAGTCTTCTAATCCTACCCCCCTCCACCTCTCTCTCTCTCTCTCTCTCTCTCTCTCTTTTAAAGGGAGACGCTCAGCTCTATTTGCACATCTACACGGAAACACTGGCTTCATAATGAAAACTAAACGGGTGATAAACCAACAATTTTGTCTTTTGCTTTTTGTTATAACTACATCAGTGTAAATAAAGTTAAGGAGAGTGAGCGGATCGTCAAGACTGCCCCAGAAGAGCCACGCTACTACGACCCAAATAGAAGAGAACCAATTTCATTCTTCCACATGACACTGCTCATTCTCCAACCCGTTATAGTTACTCTTAGCCGGCAAGCTTGGATAATGAGCCACCTAAAAGGACAGGAGGCAACAAAATAAGATGGCCATTGCCGACCTTGAGCTTCCGTATGCAAATTTAGTTGTAGACGACCTTTTGCTGTCCGAAGGCACTGCAGGACTGGTTGCCGTCGTTGTTGTCGCTTTGGCTTCCCTAAATTCGGTGGTCAATGGCGACGTCTCACATGACGATGAGGTCGGGGCAGCAATGCACTCCAAAGCGGTCGCACAATTGACTGGCATTGAAGTTGCTGCATGACATACCTGTTGGTTGTTGATATTGTTATTGTTGTTGCAGCAAACAATGACATCGTTGCATACGTCATTGAGGTTAGAGCACTTCCAGTAGTTTGAACCCCATGCATCAGTTGTACCGCTGCAGCAGTAAGGCGAAGCGCCATTACCACAGCTGTTGGACTGCCAGTTGTTGTTGACGTTGGTGTTTTGGTTGGTAGGGGGAGGAGGGGGGGGCTTGGGAGGTGGGTGTGGTGAACCGCCAGGGGCTGCGAGAGCGCCAGTAGCGGCGGTAAGAAGGAAAACGATCATAGAAGTAACCTGCATGGTGGGTGGTTGGATTGAGTTAATCTGGAAGAGAAGAGTGAGATTTGCTGCTCTGATGAAATGCTTGCTGGATGATGGTTGAGAGTGATGAGGAATGTTCAAGGTGAAGAGAGGTCGTTCTTATACTTTTCTCTCGAGAGCTCTTGTAAAGTCTTTGGACTGTATTTTCCTTTTAAAAATGGCAAAGTAAGACAGATACGAAGTGGCGGCAAGCTGAAAGAGCGGAAAGAACTAAAAATCCAATACATGGCGCATATCCATGCATGTCTATTGAACTTATTTTTGCAGTTCTAACGCAGGTCTTAGTAAATGAGTGAAGGTTTTCAAAGTCAGTTCCTGCTTTGTGGGCCAGCATTTTCACGTAATTGGTCAAGCTTGATAAGTCAGAAGCTGAGAGGCTGCATTTAGGGACAGCCTGGGTCGGTCCATGGTGTTTGAATCGCTAGGGAAGTCAACCTCCGGACAGAAAAAGTATCAGGGTACCAAGAGGCAGGTACCAGTACGTTTAATGACGTAGCATTGTATCGACTTGATGACACTTTGATGCTCTGAGACATTCAGCTGATCTCGTATAAACGAGGATTCAAAGTTTCGCAGGTTGTGGACAATCTTGGAATGTATGCCACGGTAAATCGGCAATGTTTGTTACGGTGAGACATTAAAAGTATCCAACAAACAATGTTTACAAGCCACCATCGGAAGTGTTCAACAATTTTGGTAATGTTCACGAGCTGCCGTTAGAAGTGTCCAACAATCTCGGCAATAATTTCCGAGCCACCGTTTGTGGCATTTAGCTCTTTGCTTTGCATACACATATACGAGCCCAACAGATATAAGTGACTAGTCATGTTGCAGATCCCGTAGTAACCGGAACTTTGAGCTTGCAACAGCCGTTGTTATTAGTAAATCCAGTTTAACCTCTACTCGAGCGGTAAACCTTTGAGATGGTCTGTAAAAGCAGAAACTTTTCGTTTAAATAGGCCTCCTGTCTGTTCATTTTCGTCTACGTTAGTCAACGCATTCAGACGTTTCAAGACTTCCTCTCGTTACAATACAATTTGCCACTTTCCTTCGCTATACCAACACACCATCGCCACTCTTTTACACCTCAAACATGTATACCTCTATTATCTTTTATGCTCTCATCGCCCTTAATGGCGTCATGGCATCTCCGGCCCAAGGCCCCGAGGTTGAACCTCGAGCAATTGAGCCTCGCATTCCTTCTCTGGGGGATATCCCGTTCCCGAAATTCCCAGCTCGCAACCCCAACAGCAACAAAATGGGTGGTGGTGAGTTTTGACGGTTCTTTAATCATGTGAAGACTTACTTAAACTAAGAAGGCAACAACAACAACTGCCCCTCGAGCTCGGGTACGAGCACTCAGTCGAACGCCTGCTCTTCAGGCAGCCCATACTGCTGCAGCAGCGATGGGAACGGCGGTAAGTGACGTGTTACCCTTTTTTAATCCAGAATTCTGACATTTAGCAGGACACGTTTGTTCGAACACCACCGCATGCGATACAACAATTATCTGCTGCAACAATAATAACGGCGTAAGTTAATGGCAATTTATTCCCCACAGTCATCTTACAAATGTGACAGTTCCAAATTTGCATTGGCGAGCTCGATTTCAACGCACCGATCACCATCAACATCTATGAATGAAAGGTTCGGCTCAAGCAAAAGACGCTTCTAAAGAGGCGGGCAACCGGGGAGGATCCTCAGCTGAGATGTACTGGCACTTCAGTTAGCCAATCTAGATTCGCCAATACATGAAAGTACCTTATAACTTGTTCGTAATTTACATGTGATTGCCAGTGTCCGCCTCCTGCCTAAGAAACATGGCGTACCTTTGATGGCAGATGAAGGCACTCGTAGTGAACAACTAAAAGTTAAATACAACATGGTTGCGGCAATCTTCAACCGAGCCGTTGAGGCGGACTTTATTTGGAGTTAAAATTACTCCGTACCGCGAAAAGGAAAACGGCGACGAGCCGACGAGAGTCCCGCCTTGGCAGGGGCTGAAAGCCACGTTTGCGGGGTTGGCATCTCGGACAGGGATGTCGGCACCCAAAGCTTGTCTCAGCCCGCCCATGGATCACTGCGTCCAAGCTATAGGAAACAAGCCTCTCATAGCCTGTTCTTTGTGTTGGATAAAGTGCTGCCGTTTAATAAACTTTCGGTAGTACTACTGCACGCTTTGCTTCCGCAGCCCCTGATTCGGCGGTGCCTGAAACTTGGGTCACACTTCAACGGATCTCGGCACATCGCTGGCACTGAAGTCTGGGGTATTAGCTAATTTGCTTCATCTCCAGGTTATTTTGAGACCCTATAGTTGTGCGGATCGAACTTACACCAGCACCAGGGAATCGACTGCTCACCGGAGGATCGACTGTTCTCCATACTATGGACGGTGAGGCACTGCACTAGGGGCTGAAACTCAGTCTGGATGTCGCTGTTTGGTCGGTCTTGTTTGCCGCTGATCCAACATAAAATAAGCATTATGTCATAGTGGCATATAGTGCCGCCAAGTGTGCCTCGTAACTGCCGGTAGATCATATCCGGCTGAAACAAACTGTCTTGCACATGAAACATGTGAAAGAATACATGTACGTGCGTACTACTCGTCCAACTCGCTTGTTGGCGTGTATCTCTACCTACCATCCTGGCGAGAGAAGTTGGTACGACCGCCCCTATGCTTCTATTCCAAGAAGGAATCTCTGCTAGGAATAGCTTTACTAGGCAAGTATCAACTGAATATCTGGGTTTCTTTCATTTCTTCCCCCCTTAATAGTTGCTCAATATTTTGATAGTATTATTGGAAGTTAGACGTGACATGGCTGAACATGCCGGAAATAGGGCTCTGAAGTAGACCCAACGTATTTGACACAAATATATGACTAACGGCTTGATGGACAAGGTTTAAGCCCGGAGAATGGCAATAAGCTGCAGGAAATTTAAGCCTCGGGATTGTCCGCTTCACTTTGTAATAGGTTCATAATTTTCTATACTAAAACGTTTGACCGGCTGAATAGCGCAGCCACTCAAATTTTAAGTACACCCTTTTGTTAAGGATGCCGCATGGGTCTCACCTTCCATTCAAATCGCGTTTCTTTCTGGCTGTGGCTTCGGCTCCAGGGAGAGTATTCGCCCTGCCCTAAGCAGCTTCCTACCTGATAGGCTCGAAATAGTTATTTTTAGCTCAGGTATTATGATTACACCAGCTGGCCTTGCCACTGATGGATACGAGGTTCAAAATTAGCATCAATTATATGGGTCACGCAACCCTACTGAAGCTGATAGTATTACCTTATGATGCAAAGAACAGCTGAGGTACCTAAAGCCTGATGTCAGACATACCAATATCCTTATTATTGCACCAGATACAGTCTTGAGGTAGCAAGGCCTTTGCTACCCTACAGTCTTTACAAGAGAATCTGAAATGGGTCTCCTAGGGAAGGTATAGGTAGAGCAAACTTGCAAACACTTTGTATGGGCTGCGGTTTGCAAAGAGGGACTTGTCTATCAGAAGTGGAGTGTAAATTCTGGTATTGTAAACACAAATATATCAAAGATTGTGAGCTACACTGGCCAAACATTTCTGTAGCTACCAGTACGCCCGGTAAACGTTTGGCACTGTCGCCTCAGAGGTAAGCGGGCTGTGCAAGGTGGCACCCTCTAGGCGCCTACGGCTGTAGTAGTGGGGGAAGCGGTTGACAGTATAAGCCCATTAGTATGAGTTTGAGCACAGAATAAATACAGACTATACAATGAGGCGGCACAGCATCTTTGTGGCTGGAATCGAAGTGTGTTGAGTGGCTTTTTTGTAGGTATCGATATTCACCTCAGCTATGATCTCCAGATAGATGGTGGATTCTTTCTGCTTACTCCTAGGATCCAGCCCAGGCTCCTGCTTAATTACCCCTAGGGTACTCTCTATCTATACGAACGAGCTGTCTTTAATTAGAAATGGCCTGCAGCCAAGTCCCGAACCCTAAAAAAGAACAATACACGAAGGGACCATGGCTGAAAAGCTTCCTCTGGTCGGGGATACGCTTGAAACCACTAGTGATGAGTCTCTCCTGAAGGATCATCTAAATACAGTGTGATGCAAGTCTCTTGTGTCAGTACCGTGCTTGCCAGTCTCCTTTACATCTTCTCAAACTTCAGTGCTTAACATTAGATTGGATTACAAGATACTTGAATAGGGATTCATGATAAATGAAGGAAGTGACTATTCAGCATCCCGTTCTCAAATTTAAAGCCGCCTGGGTATTAATGATAGCAGAAATTAGAGCAAGAAATGGACAGTAGCAGATAGTAACGAGAATAGTATATACTACATGAACCTTGTATTTATTTAATTAATGGTGATAAAAGATCTTTATTACACGTTGTTATGATATTCGGAACTCTTCTTAGTCGCTGGAGTGCTGGATAACGAACTTGGTTGCTGAATAGGCCTTCCCTAAATGAAGCGAAGATTGACGAGGCTGTGTCAAGAAATTCGTCTTGCGGAACGTGACACATTGTTCGAAACCATTAGTATAGATTGTTATCCAAACCGACTTCGCCTTGTGTTTCTGATATCTTGTGTAGGCAGCCAAGATGTGTTAATGTGATCTTTGCAAAGCTAGATGACACTCGTTATCCGAAGGTCAAGAACATCTTCTTGGATGCGCGACCACGAACGTACAAAGTTCATCTCATGTCTATATAGAGCTCCCTGCTTGTATGACTTGGCACATACGACCATAGGTAGTAGAAAACTCGCCCCCCCCCCCCCCCCCCCCCCCCCCCCCCGGGGCCCCTACCCAGGAGCTCCATAGGGCTCCTCTATGGCTTGGGACTTGCTAAAGCCGTTTGCAACAAAATCCGAGTGCCAAGCAGGGCTGCCTCAAATCAAGTCATAGCACTTGCCACCCCAATAACGGATGGAAAAAATTCACATCTCTCTCTCTTGTTTCTCACTAGATTTCAGCCCCCATCTGTCTAGGTCCAAACCTCGAACCTCGAATAGTTCTTGCCTCTTCGCCCATCTTGCCACATCTTTCCATATCTTGCTACTTTCTGCTAGTATGTAAAATATATATAAGGCACTTGACAACCTATTTTTTTTTTTTTTTTTGCCAAATTTCATGTTAATGAAAGATGCTGGATAGCCGTTTCCCAAACAAATGGTCCCGAGCATTCCAGTGATATAGGCGACATGAGCAACATCTTCAAAGTCTTTGAATGTCAGTCAAACTTTCTAAGTCGCATCTCTTTTAGCCGTCAGTTTCTTTAACAACTCCTCCATTTCCTCCCTAATAATCTCTTCCGCCCCAACACAATCCCTCTCCTCCGCCAAATCCAAGGGTATTCTTCCCTGGGAATCCTCGCACAACACATCCGCCCCATGCTTCATCAACAGCCGAACACAGTCATCGTGCCCTTTTAAAGCGGCTAGATGCAGAGGCGTCCTTCCATCAGCATCGCTACAATTCACGTCCGCAGAGGCTTCGAGCAGGGCCTCGACAATCTTGGGTTGCCCCGACAAGGCCGCGTAATGCAGAGCACTCCGTCTCTTCTGTAGATACTTTCCATGGACATTGTAGCCAGCTTTGATCAACTCTAGCGCAGTCATGGACGTCTTGTCTCGAATCGCTCGCACAAGTGCCACTCCCTCCTTTTGTGCCCCTTTCTGCAACAAGAAATCCACACACTCCTTATCCGAGTTAGATATGGCAGTGACAAGTGCGGCGGAAAGACCATCAAGGCCAATGTTTTTACTTATGAGGAGCCTTGATACCTCTATATGCTGGTGCAAAACCGCTCTGTAGAGCATAAAAGCGCCTCTCCCGGTGGGAGCACCCCTGTCAAGCAAGAGACTAATCGCGCCGAGATGCCCACCGGCGCAGGCTGAGCATAGAGCATTATGTCCCTCTTTATCTATTGACACTAGCGAAAGGTCTAGAAGGAGACTCATGGATTCACAATGTCCCTTACCAGCTGCGCTCATAAAAGCCTGCGTGGCAGCCTCTTGGCCTCCGTAATTCTGTTTCGATAGAATGGTGATCAACTCGGTATCATTACCCTGTGCCGCCGTTACGATCGGCTCGCTAAATTTATCGACAACAAAGATTCGATTCGCGTCCGCATTGCACTTCGTCAAATGTTCGACGAGGTTGTGCTTTTTGGAAAGTATTGCGTATCACATGGGATTGACCTTAAACGAGCTTCTTAGAGAAGCCATGCTCCGGCCGTCGTTAATACCTGGATACGGGCATTTGTAGAGATACTCGGCAACTTCGAGCCAATTCATTTGACAGGTCACCCATATTGGACTTGGCGGTAATTGAGCTGCCGACTCAAGAAGCTCCTTTTGGCCCGAGTTTCCGATAACCCTGCTCATTAGAGCGCTCCACACGTGAAAGGCTCTGGAAACTTTGTAGGCTGAATCCCCAATTTCACTGCTCTTCTCCAGCATGAAAGCCCCCATCAGGTCGGCTAGAGGGTTTTCCAACCGGTGCTTGCCGCTCTTCTCAATATGATCAATCACCCAAGTTACAGCATATTCGCTTGGCTGGCCGTAAACATCATCAGATGATACCACTGCAAAGATCTCGAAACTCATAACATTTAATTGGTCGTCCTTCATTTTCTTGATCCACTTAGCAACCTTCTTAGCTGTCTTTTCTGAATCTTTTTCGTCATCTTGGCCCGTAGGGGCCTCTCCGTCACTGATTTGATCAGTTTCTTTCGTGTTGTCATCCACTTCATCCTGGAGGGGTTCGTCGTCCCTCTTTGCCGTATTCTCGCCTCTCTCTCTCCTCTGCTCATTGGTATCACCATCTACCCGGCATTCCTCGATGATGCTATTCATAACTTTCTATCGTAACGCATCCCCTCTGTTTTCAACTTGAGCCAAGTTAAGATATCGCAAGCAAGCGGTTGCAATGGCGGCGTGGCTTATCTCCGACTGATAGTTATGTATGTCTCGGTTGTGTAGTCGCTCGAAAAACTCTCTAACGGACAAGTGAGCAAAGTCAAATGAGTTCTGGCGAGTGACAATCAGATTTGAGCAGACGTCCAGGACCTCATCGCTGGAAAAGGCAGTTCCGGATTCGGGTTTCGACTTTGTGCACGCAAGCACAGCGAGCGCTTCAAGGGAGATGGATTCCTGCGCATACAGTAGCCATTGGAAAGTGAAGTTGGCGAGTTCAAAAGCATACTCCCCAGACTCTTGGATTTCTTGATAGATTTCCCAGTACGATCCCTCAAGTGTATCTGGTAAAGCACCGAGACGCGCCTTTAGATCAGCAGCCACCTTTACCCTTTTTAGCGACTGTATCTGAAGGTCGACCCATCGAAACCTGATAGAGATTGGCTGATCAGAGCAATTTTCATGCAATACTGTCTTTTAGTAAGGGCCAGAGACTTACATTCCCTTGGCTCCCTCCTGAAGCGTATTAGTAATTTCCTCTCGTAGACTTGGTGTAAGTTTTCCATGAAGTAGTTTTGCAGACGTAAGTTGTGTGTCACTAAGAGTCATGTTCAGCTTAGTCTTCAAATAGTACATGCAAGTCTCGTACATGAATGTTGAAATATCCTCAGCATTGTCATCGGCTTCGATATAAATATTCGGCGTCCCGTTTAGATGGAGAGCAATGTCGTAGTTGCTTCTACTTGAGATGAACACTCTGACAAGAGAGTTTGACTCCTGTAGAATACGGTTGAGCGCATCTAAGAGTTCCTGTCTATCCTCTTAATCCACTTCGTCCAGGGCATCTAGAACAAATGTCACAGCAGGATACTCGTCGACAAGCTGGACCAAAACTTCGACACACTCGTCTGATGTCCAAACCTGATCTCGAATCCCACAAAGCCTTTGATAGCCTCTTCGTAATGCTCTTTCACAGGCGGCAATATCGGATCGCTTGGCGTGAGGCTTGCTAATTGGCGAACAAAACTCGCAAGAATCTTGTCGCATTGTGCTCGGTGTGGCTCGGCCGGATTTCTTAGGCAGTAGAAATAGGCCATGTGCTCTTTTCCTGTAACCTCGTCCACAACTAGAGACGCCAGTTTGGTCTTTCCTGAGCCGGGAATGCCGTGAAGCCATAGCACAGACGAATTACTTCTCTTTCTCCAGTCACTGAAAGTCGATTTATTTAAAAGCCATCTGCCGGAGCCCTCCAAGCGACCTTTGCTGGCAATTTTGTGGTGAACGCCGTATGGTATGGTGGAAATGGCCTTGAGGATTTGCGTCCGCATCTGTTGCTCAATGCCATCTTGAATCTGTCCAAGACGGCTGTCAATGCGATCGATTGGTTGGTGCAAATCCTTCATGGTATCTCTAAGGGACTGCATTTCCATCTGATCCCGTCCATCCTTGTCTTTAAGGTGCTGTTCGATTCCTTGGATACCATCAACAGCGCTTCCCAAGTCTTGAGCTCCTGAAATCTCCATAAGGCGCCTAAACTTTGCCTGTGCAGTTTCGACGGGTTCGTATTTGGCCTTCATATCATTCTTAGAAACAATGACGCTTTTTAGTATTCGTACTGCCGTAGTCAGACCATAGTAATGCATAATCCTTGCTAGGTATCCCAAGATGGCGGCGTAGAGGTCCGTTATGCATTCCGAAAGTTGACCAAACAGCTCGCTACTGTTATAATTTCGCATGATGAGTCCCTCTATCATCATCTATTCAATTTAAAGTACGCAGTACACCTACCTTTGCTTTCTCTTTTCCGTAAGGTATACCGCCTCAATAAGTTGACACTGAGCAACAAGATTGCTGATGTTTTCCAGCGAGCTGAGGACATAGCCAAAGATCTCGATGTCGTTTATGGTGGCTTGCATAATGAGTTTTATAGCTGCCCAGGGTAGTGCTGCATGTATAGGATCATATTGAATGATAACGTCGCCAACAGCCTAGAAAGAAGTCAGCGATGAGCATACACTTAACATTATAGTATCGGAGGTGTTATGCATACTAATAGTTTTTGAACCCAAGTACTAAGCTTTTCAAGAATGTCTCTTATAATGATTGTTTGCCCTTTAATTACCAGTTTCCATCTCTTCTTTATGCACTCTTCCTTTCGCTTGTTAGTAGCGGTGAGTACATTAGAGAGGACGGATTTCGGGTCGTCTATGCCCTTTTGTGCAAGCTCAAACCGTGTTTGATCCTCTTTACTTAGCCTCAGCAAGGCCTCTGCCCACCTGCTCGCAGACCTACCCTCGCTGGCCTCCTTCTCGCCGGATGCGGATAATGAGACAGTTTCCCCCATATCCGCTTTGGAATCTCCTTTTTTTTCTGATTCGCTCATCTCTTCTAGTGCGCCTGCACTTTTTCATAGGGAAGTTGAGACAGCGGAGATGAGAAGTTTTGGAAGCTGAGTTGCCTGTACACAAGGCGGGGTATTACCAGAGTGGGTATGTACGTATTCACAGAATAATTACACCACCAAAACCATATGAATCCAATCAGTTGATAGATCAGACGAAGGATTCGGCCCTAGCAAGACCGATACTGTGTTTTGGTCTTTAAGGAAACAAGACACACAGGGACCAATACACCTCAATGACATATAATCATTTTAATGTACGAAGTATAAGACTAAGTCATAGTACACTTACTCGGTGGCTTAACCAAGCGTGCTACTAAGCCCCTATGTCGCTCTATTGGAGAAGTAGGCATGAAACCCGTATCTTATACTAATGCATATCTGTGTGCTATAAATGTAGAAGTATACTGCAATATAAGATCAGTATATATGAATTTGATTGGGTGGCTGCGTTGATGCTAGTCTCGTTGTCTGGAGATTGAGGAACGTGTCTCCCTTGATATGTTTTCCGTGAAACAAGAGTCCCTAATACAGCTGTTGATGGGACAAGACCTAGCGTTCAGGTACCCTGCCGCCTTGGGCCTCATTCAGCATAGTTCAAGCCAATTGAACATATAATTCAACAATATAGCAACATTCTGATCGATGAGATGAAATTAATGCATATAGAGTCGGAGTTATGAGCCATAGAGCCAAAAGTAGCCACTCTCATCCTCTTCGTTAAGTTTCTAATATTAAGTTACAACCGTGGAAAGATTTCACTTTGTAAACCTTTCTCGGAAAAGTCTAATCGATCTAAGACGAAGCAGATGCAGTATGTCTTTTACATCCAGTCTCCAAGCTATAAGTCAATTGATGCCGCTCCCAAGCACATACGACCATAGGTAGTGGAGAATTCGGGGTCCCGTCTGCTCCCCCCTAGACAAGCCACTAACCGGCAGATTAGTAGTTGAGTGGGTGACCATCAGCGAACACCGGCTGTTGTATGTTTTTGTATTTCTTTTTTGTCTCTTGTTTCTTACTTCTCCCATGTCCAACTTGTGCTAATGACTTAGAGATGCAGGATTGTTCCGGTTAGAATTTCGACAGCATTCTCATCACGCGTTGCTGTTCCATATAGCAATTATCACTTTGATTTCCGGCTGATATGATCGATAGCGGTGGTAATTAGTAGTTGGCTCACTTGGTAAGAGACCATAAGCGTGTCATTTATAGTTCAACCTCTAACGGGTCCAATTGTTCCAAGTATTGGGGAAGACAGCCTCCTGTCTGTGAATCTCATGAGGAACTGTTTAACAGTTATGTTACTATCTATGCTGTTTTTCATGTACTGTTCCTTCTAGAAGCAGAAACAAGCCCTAGGATTCTCTCTATTTTGTTTTATAACTCCCGCTATATATTTGAGCTCTTAGTTTATCAACAATACCTTGGGCGTGCGAGAGACCTATGTGGTCTCATATTACGCAAGGGGCACTCTGCTTTTGGTACGTATGATTCAATCAATATTACACAGCCTCCACGCCCCCCAGAGCCTTTTTTCTATCCAGATCCGTTGTAATGAGACGGGCCGAATTGCCTGGCTTGAAAGCATTAAGTAGTGAATTGCATTGCTGTGAGACTTAATAACAGCTTGATCCAGCTGTTCCTAAATTAAATTAGGTCTTCAGCTATTATATTAATGTATAGTGGCTTCCTAAGCCTGGATTATAGCGGAAATGAAAGGATCCTTACCATAAAGGATGCGATATAACTGATCCCAGGAGTGGTGTATCGCAATAGCAACAAAAAGCTTGAGCCAGTGAAAACCGAGCATCAATCTATATAAAAAGTGAAACGAGGTACATGGGAGTCTCGGAATGAAGACTAGCGTACCGCTGGTAGTCAGAGCCTAGTCGGTCTGAACATGGGTCTATGCGTGGAAAACTGTATTGCATCGGGAACCTGTGTTAGCTCTTCCTCACTATCGCAATCTCAGCATAATCATCCTATGCTTTATTGATCCTCTCATCTTCATTTTAAATTTAACCTCTATACTCATCATTTATCGTCATTCGCCCTATTGTGACTTAATAATTGTCCTAATTGCTGTTTTTCTTACGTGTTTTATTGGAACAGTCACTGGATTGTGGAGTACTTCTATGAAGGATTATAGTCATGCTTATCTCTATGGAGTATATTCTTTGCTTTTGTGTGACAATCCCTATAAACAGTCCCTTACATTCAACACCCAAGTATTCTGATACCATTGCTGCCTATTCTGAGTGTGAGGCATTTTGTTTCTATTGGTCCTATTATATACTACAGGGCACTCGGTCAGCTGCATTTGTGCCAGCAATCCGTGCTGTTGGTTGTTGACATTTGCGGGGCATTCTGATTGGATGCTAGCATAGTTGTTATACAGCCCATGTTGGTCTCAGGTTGCATTGCACATGAAATCGGCTTATCATCTGAGGCGCAGTGTGGCAGTGGTGGGGCTGAGGAACCAAAATATTGGCACTTTTGATTCTGTATCTCCTCCCATGATCCAACAAGGCCGGATATCTCTGAATCTGGGGAGATATATATATCACTGGGGGGCTCTTTCCAGCTCTGCGGATGGCTATCTCAAGAAATTCATGAAACAAATTCATCATTCAAATTAAAGGCCGTAGACTCTATTATTAGGGCTTTTCCGTTATGGATAACGTTTCACGCGACATAGAGCCGAAGGCTTCATCGCCACAACTTGCGATGGTTCCTCAAGAACTGATAAAAGCGCTAGAGCAATTGACGAGGGGACAAGAGCGGCCATTTGCCGATGCAGTCGAAAAAGACTCTCCAGGTACTCAAAGAGATATCGGGAATTTAGTGAGCAAGGCTTTAGATGACGAATTCCATGGTGACCCAATCAAATGCATCCCAAAGTGGACAGAGATTCAAACTCTCCCCCCCGAAAGAATCCACGAAGAAAGTGATGCTTATATCACAAAGTATCAAGGTATATTGGTTTATGTCAAATGTTCTTGTCTCCCTTATCTTGATTCCTGATATGCTGACATTCTCTTGTCCTGGTTGTGTACAGAGTTTTGGAAGGGACGAGAAGGCACGGCAACAGAGATCGAAACCACGAACAAGGCGTACCAGTCAGCTTTTGAGCGTTTCCATGATATATATCACTGTCTAGGATGGCGGGACAATGAAGACCTCACGCTAAATTGTGCCAGCTTGTGCAAATACCAGCCTCCTCTTATTGAGTCCATCTTCGCAATTGAGGCATATCGAATGAAATCACATCTTCACTATCAGGAATCTACGCGGGCTTCATTCGAATACTCGCGTTTGCCCCGCTTATTGTTAATATTGATTCGGATTGAGAGTCGGCGAAACATGCGAAATAGATGCCGTCCGAAAACCGACAACACCGCCACTAGTCCTGACGACAACAATCAAGAGTTAAAGGCCTCTGAAATCTTGGCCGTTCTGGCTCAAGTCGCACGAACTATGCGTCAGGCAAGCTGGGTAGACGGATCGTACAAAATGACTTTACAAGAGCTTCTCCAGGATTGCTACTCACGCAGGCTTCTCCAGCAGCCGAGATCCACCGATGTTGAAGAACATCATGAGCACATGCGGCTCCTAACTGACTGTCTCATGGCTTTGGACTTTACGCATCGTTTCAGGGAGGTTCCTCAGCCTCTCTCTAAGACCTTTTATTATCGATACTCAGAAGAACCAATTCACAAAATCATGGATATGGTCCTAGCATACGGTCAATCGCAGCGCGCCGTCAATCGTTTTAAGCAGCTTTCGCTTCAGGACTCTGATAGTTCAACCTTCATACCTGATCATTTCACCATTCGTCATTTGCGAGACTTTGGCAATCTGAAGATTGAGTGGACTGACTGTCTGGATGACCATTTGAAGATATACACCGGTCGAAATGCCATTCGGATATTTGCTCACCCGACATTCTTTTATAACTGTATTGATCTGCATAAGTGAGTCTTTTGAGAGACTTTATATCATAGTTTTTATCGTATTCTCGCGATTACTTTATTTTCCGTACTAACAATTCCTTCATCTTAGAAATGAGAGAGATTACCTGGAACCCACTTTCATAGAGCTATCACAAACCTATGCTCTTCTATTCCGACCTTCATCAAGGAGAAATCTGAATATTCTACGCAAGTTTATTAGAATTGAATATTCATTCCGTGGACGCGTCACCTTCGGTGGTAACGACATTCCAATTTTCTCCAGAAGGCGGAATCATGGAAAAAATGATGTTCCCTCTGAGGACATAAACCTCGACATAGGTCAAAATCCCATCAAGGGAATGCTAAACAATTTTTTCCGTTGCTCTTTGCCTCCGAGTCTGCAAGCTGCTTTCAACATATCCCAACCGACTAAAATGATTGAAAAGATAGCCAGATGGGATCAGCATATGACCACACAAGCGCCCATGCAACAAATCCTGGGACTTGCCCCTTATCCAGAAGATATCAAGTTCATGGCCACCTCACTATTAGTACAAGAGTTCGGGCAATTTGAGGCCTTCCAGACCTTTCCTTATTTCGGCTCCCGGCTGCGACAGCTAAAGACGTATTTGGACGCCCATCAACCCCGGACCTGGTTGCAGCTATGGAGAGATGACCGAGATGTTCGTGTATGGTGGGCCTTTTGGATTTTCATTGGGAGCGTCAGTGTCATTTTACCCATATCTATAATTGGGATCATCTTGCAAGCAATTTATCTTGCTCGCTATCGTTGATATGGCTGCCTGAAGAGGCTTCGAACTACTTGCCAGATTGACAAATATAGTTTTTCTACCTGGGCGCGTAATCAATGCATGATACTATAAACAGCATCGTTTAATTCTATGTAAAACACTTGTAAGAGTTCTAGTATAAGTGAGTTTTGTTACCCTCCGACATCACCGGCTGTGTGCCTTATACGTTCTTGATGCCGGTTGAGTGGCATCCGAAAACGACATCGTCTTGATTGACTGCATGCATCCAAAACATACCTCGCGATCAATCTGCCAATGTACAATTCCAGTATAATAGGTTCCGGCAATGTCTTTAAGAAATGGCCAAGTAAGCTTTAGCAAGCTTTGAGTGATGGGTTTGCGTAAAACAATAGCTCTCAATTACACGGAGCTCCTCTTATGTGAACTTGCGGTCAGCTCACCAACCTGCTATCCACAAAGCAGGCATGCTCGTGTGGTTGAATTTTGTATCATCCCAGTCACTTAAGAATTATAAAGAGTTCGATAATCGCAATTCATATCATGCTTGTTAAAAAAATACATACATTAGCTGAGCTATTCACCAGCCACCGCCATTATCTTACAATCAAATCAACTTGGTATATCCAATCTCCCATCATCAATATCCAACATAATCGTGACCACATTATTTACAAGATAAATCCATCATTTCTTTAAACATGCTCTTGGTGGGATGGGCTTTCAGGATGCACCTGCTTATCCTGAGGCTCGTTCAGTGGGCCATCGCTGTCTTGATCGGCAAGGACATCAAGATCGACGCCTGCCTTTCTGCGAATGTTGGCCATGTGCTCCGGAGGAGGCGGCACCCACTTGGTGCTCTTCCACGGAAGAACGTGCTCGAGATACATGGTGTCGATCTCTTCAAGGGTGCGGCCCTGGCCTTCAATGACGAAGAAGTAGATGATGAGAGCTCCCATAAAGTTGCAGCCAGCAAAGACGTAGCCGTATCTGTAAATGAACTGTCAGAACATCATCTTGATTTGTCAACGGAGGTTTGCACATACCTGAAGTCGATGGCGCCAGTGATGAATGGCGTGAAGAAACCAATGCAAAAGTTCCAGATCCAGTTGCTGGCAGTTGAGAGAGCCATAGCCTTGGCACGGTATCGTGAAGGGAAGATCTCGGCTTGGATGGTCCAAATCATGGGACCCCAAGTGGTGGCGAAGCCAAGAATGAAGAGACAGGCGAAAACGATGAGAACAATACCTGGCGTCGGTGTGGCTGAGGGATCATTGAGATCAAGCATGAAGTGACCAACGGAGGCGAAGATCAAGAAGCAAATAAACATCCAAATGGAACCGGCGATGAGAGACTTGCGACGACCAAAGTGTTCGACCATGTACAGACCAATGAAGGTGACGCCAAAGTTGATACTGTTGAGAATGATCTGAGTGACGAAAGAGTTGATCTGCACCGACTTGAAGATGGTGGTGCCGTAGTAGAAGAAGTAGTTGGCACCGGTAAGCTGTTGGAACATCTGCAGGGTCATGCCAAGAGCGATACGATATGCCATGCGAGGGGCCCTGAACATGCCGATGAACTCCTTGACAGGACCGGCCTGGATCTTATCTTCAGCGCGGAGCTTGCGCTCAATTTCTGTAATCTGGGTGTGGACAGCCCAGTGGTTTTCTGTGGCACCGTATACACGGCAAATGGTCTGCTTGGCTCGTTCTTCGTGGCCGTGTCGGAAGTCGAATCGAGGGGTCTCAGGGAACAACAGAATACCGAATCCGAGAATGAGAGTCCAAACCCATCCCAGGCCAATGACGATTCGCCAGCTGCCCGAGTTGCCGCTCTGGTGCTTGACAGTGCCATAGTTGAAGCAGGCAGCAAGCCAGATACCCATGGTGATGAAGAGCTGGTAAGCGCAAACCATGGCACCTCGAATCCAGGCCGGTGCTGTCTCAGCTTGGTACATGGGGACAAGCAAACTCAGAGCGCCAACGCCTAGACCAGACACGAATCGACCAATCATGAGCTGATACCATGCCGACACAGACGCAATCTGGATGACGAAACCGACGGATACAACCAGAGCCCACAGTGAAATGGAAGGCTTACGACCAACGCGATCAGCGATGGGTGCAGCAACCAAGGCTCCAATAAGAGTACCGATAGACAGCAGAGCGACAATGAGACCGGAGCGGACATTGCTAAAGTATTTTGTGCCGTCAGAGTGAGTGAGACCGAAGCGGTCAAGGAAATCAGGCATTTCAAGGAAGCCAGAGATTTGACCAGTATCATAGCCAAAGCTAGGAAGCGGTTAGCTTGGTTCATTAGCTCCATCCAAAGCGAGGAGGCACTTACATCAATCCACCCATTGAAACCAAACCACCCATGGCTAAAGACCGTCCAGACAGACGTGGCAGAGGAGAATAGTCCAGGCCAGAGACTGAAGGCCGACCAAACTCGGGATTGTGCTTCTCTGACGCAGGGTCATGCTGATCGAAGAAGATGGTGTTAAAACGGCCTCTTCTGGAACGCATTTTGAAGTATGGGTTCTTCTGCTATGGCCCTTGAGTGGCAGTGGTGTTGTCTCCGCCAGAGACTATCGCGCAGATATAGGTGTATATGTGTATGTAGGTATATATAAGGTATATATATATGAGATGAGATGCCAATTGAGTTGCAAAGGAGGTTGCTGCCGATCCGGGAGCTTGGTCTCCTAGTGGCTGGTGATGTAGTAGTGATGATGTAGTGTATCTTGTTTCTCCAATATCGAGACAGATCGTCAACCCAAGGGGGGGAGGCATTGGGGTATAAATGTTCTCCAACATGGCCAGGGCCGCCACTGATGCCCCGTCCGTCTCCCATGACCTAATTCATCCCAAACGCCCACGCCCACGCCATAAGGCCATGATCAAGAAACCGTAGGACCGGCCCCAGTCCGGCCGTTTGGTGGGTGGACAAGCACAAGCAGGCATCTCGAAGCAACGCCTTTAGCCCCGGATCATGACGCCCAAGGGGGAAAAAAAAAGTCTCCCCACCCCACGGGTTCGGGCTCGGGGAAGCCTCCAACGAATTGAATCCTGGGGACGGCCGACAGCAGAGGCAGGTCAGGTGCGGGAGAAAAAAAGCGCTGGAGGGCGAATTGGGTGACAAACCGCGGCGCTCTTCCCACCATACCGAGATTCTCCTTGCTCAATTCGGTCCTACTCCAGGCTTTCTCCATTGTCCATCTCCAGTTGCTGTGGACTGTGGAGAGAAGAGGCCGCAAACCAGGACCAGAACCGGGTTTTTTGGGCAGCGGCCTCGTGACGCGATTGGTCGGTCACCCCCGAGAGTGAGGAAGGAGCGAGGTGAAGACGAATGAGGACCAGGCAATCGCGATTGACCGAGTCCCCACCAGGCAGGAAGGAGCTCCACCGAGAAAGCTTATGTACTCAAGTACCGTGCTACTAAGGTACTTCTTTCTGCTGCTGTCAGTGGGTTGTTTGGTGTTTAGGGACATGTCTCGGCATACTCGGGCTCCATTTTTTTTTTTTTTTTTTTCTTCTTTTTTCTTTCCTTCATGAGACTTAAAACATGCGTATGAATCAGCACCAGCCTCATTTGCAGATCCCCCTATCAAGACAAGATGCCAATCGTAATTCCACACGCGCATAGCATTGACATGCCTCAGCTGGAAATTAACAACCTACCTAGGTACCTAGGATAAAACAACAAGTAGCAAAACACCATGTACTGTACTTACTGTACCTTCCTGGCCTTGTCTAACCCAGCAATCGCAATCGCCCCTTCCCACTCACACGTTCCCATGACGTCGTCTCTACCGCCCCGGCTCCGGCAAGTGGGGCGACGCCAAGCACCGTCTCTTCCGGCGGCCTGCCCTCGGCACTTCCAGCCGATGACGTCGTCCTAGCGGTGCATCATCTGTCAATCCGCCCCCAAGCAGAAGCACACAGAGAATCAATCAGCAGGGGGTTGCAGGAATGCTGGAGGAGAGCCGCATGGAAACGGGGCGGAGATTATTTACGAAGCTATTACAGGAGAATAGTCTAACAGGAAACGCGCCTAAATTGGCCAACATATTGACTGTTTTTGCCCTGCTGGGTCGACTGACAAAGACATGACTGGAGAAGCCCGGAGAAGGATCCACGGCACATAACATAAGATGCGAGAAGGAAAAAAAAAGAAAAACAAAAGAAGAAAAAATCTCCGAGTCAGCAGATGTCCTCCTTTCGGTCCTTTACCGTGCATAGAGAGCGGCTCCTCGGAATCTGTATAGTCCCCATGACCCTTTTCTGTGTATGCATATGCAAATCTCGTCCAGGCGCTTCCACCTTGAGCTGATTCAGCGGCGCTTCTTCGCTGCCATCGTCCATCAGTCATGCTGCCCTCATCCAAAAGTTGACAAAACGCACAAAAACACCAGATCACGGTCTGCCCACCAATCCTCGTCCTCCTCCCGCAACGACTCGGGCCCTCCGGAACAGAGTTCAACGGTCTCTTTTCTTATTCTGCCCTTCTCCAGATTCTGTGCCATCCATCACACGACACGCAGGCCGAATCAAACAGCGGGCGTGTGGCATGCCCAGATCCCGCAAGGCCACAATCCCCAGTTATTTGGAAACAAACAGAAAAAACTGGCTGCCGAAGAAAGGCCAGAGTTTCAGCCCGTCGTCGCCTCCACCGTTGGTGTTCTCCATCCAATTGAGTCCCCAATTGCACAAGATCTGCCTCGTAATTCGCCGTCGGATTCGCCTATGGCCGCCACGCACGTGTGGTGTTGTTCAAACGCCTGGTGACATTTCCAGATCGACAGAGCCCCCAGTGTGGCCAAGGCCAAGATACGTATTGTAAAAGCACGTTTAGGGCCGCCTCTCGTGGCAGCCACCTCTGCAAGAGGCTGTCCTTTAGCCAATGCTTAGCCCTAAGTCTTCAGCTCAGCTTATCCTAATTCTTCAACTTCATTCCAACATCTTGGAAAGCCACAACACGCTTGACTAGCGCCGATGCCGTTGCAGGCTGTCGACAACTACGAGATTTCTCTTCTGAAAACCGATCCAGCCACTTTAAACAGCATGTCGTTTTTAAACTTTGTCCTATTTTCCGCGCTAAATGAAACAACCAATGCTACACTCTGCCAGGTGACAAGAGCCTTCCCATGTCGGATGTGGCCAAAGACGGCCGCAGCCCCTTTTTGTCCCCGAAGTTGCTCTGCATTTCCATCCTCAGTTACTCTTCACCTCAAGGTTATTACTAGCCCCGTACGCCACGCGCCATTCTTCGTTCTATTACCTGTTCTATACATCCCAGCCCGCTCCTCTCATCTTCAAAGTTCAGTCGTTAAAGAAATTCCCAAAGCTTTCAAACATTTCGTTGAAGCTCAACTTTTCGTCAACAGCTCCGTAGTTTGCAATGAAACAGACATGGAAAAAAAGGGAGGAGAAGATGTTCTTCACAACTCCTCCTCCGGAATGTGCCCCTCCACTGTGCTGAGAGCTGCCAGATTCACCTCTCCCACACGCTCGAGGCTGGCTGGGTCACCGGCACCGGCCAGCAATCCCACGCACTCAATCACATCTTCGGGCTCCAGCAGATGCCATTTGGCGAGTGTCACCTTGGTGCTAGCTCCCACAGTAACCGTAAACACGTGCTGATCATCCAGGATCGTACCCGATGCCCCGTTGAGACTGCGGAACATGTCCTCGTCTGTAAAGTCGTCTCCGGAGCACAGAGTGAACTCGATCTTTCCAGGGTGCGGATCCTTTTCTGTCGGCACGGCTCCTGGGTTGTGATAGGTAGCCACCAGCCGCTTGGCAATTTCACCCTTGCTGATAAAGGTAGGGCGCACCTCAATGTTGGCCTTGCCCGGCATCACTTCAACCTCCCACCTTTGACCCACTCCAGCTTCCAGCTCTTTGTGGCACTCGCGTGACATGTGTAGGCCTTGTTCGGGCTCGGCAAGTCGGTAATGCCAGGTCAAGGCGCAGCGTTTTCGCTCGATGAAAGAACCTAGGATAGTTGGTTAGCTTCTTCCGCCTATGGCAAGGGTATACTCGCTGTGGTAACTCCAAACCAACTCGTAACTCACCTGGAACCTTGTCCGTGTATCTCTGGAACACCTCCATGACTTCTGTTTGCCAGCCCATGTCGAATTTCTCCGCCAAGTTGACCCACTCTTCACTGCCGGGGTCTCTCATGAAGCTACCATGCTCAGCGGAGAACCCAATCTCGGGGATGTGGCCAAGATGCTGCTGGAGGAAATCTTGGTCTCGGCCCGAGATGATCCAGACCGCGTTCCTAGGATCTGCCGCAAGCGACTTCAAGTAGCGGATGATGCGCTCAGAGGGGACCGCAGCGCTTGGCTCGCGTACAATGGGCGTCAGGGTGCCGTCGTAGTCAAACATGAACAAGCGCTTTGTTGCAGAACGGTAGCGAGACAGCAGGAGGGCGCGATCAAGCAAGGGCGTCGAGTTGGTTGAATTGGTCTCACCCAGCACCGTGTGAACCTTGCGAACAAATTTGGTGATCCACGACTGGACGTTTTGCGTGGTGACGTGGTTGTAGAGGCTAGTCTGCATCTTGGTGCGCTCCTCGACAGACATGGTCAGAGCCGCGTTGATCTTCTCCGCCACGCCCGTAATATCCCAGGGGTTGATGTGGATTGCATCGCGGAGACTACCCGCTGTTCCACTAAACTCCGATAAGATGAGAGGGCCGTTGTTTTCCTTTTGGCAGACGATGTACTCGAGACTCGTCGTGTTCATACCATCGCGCACCGACGTGATGAGGCCAATATCGGCTGCCCGAAGCAAGGCAAAGTACTCAGCCTGGTTGAGGTACTGGGGGTAATGCTGCACGGGCGAAAATCCGAGGCTGCCATATTCACCATTGATCTTGATGATGAGCTCGTTGACTCGGCTGGCATTCTTGTTCTCCGGGTCGTCCTTTTCGGCCTCGACGCTGGTGGGCGATGTAACCTGGATCAAAACCACCTTCTCTCTCCAGTGAGGGTACATTTCTAAAAAGCGCTCAAAGGCCTGCAGCTTTTGGGCCACACCTCTGACACTGTCCAAACGATCTCGCCCGACGATGACCTTCTTGCCCTCGTACATTTTCAATACCGCGGCGTGCTTCTCGTTGACCGTCTCAGCCCATGCGGCGGTCTCTACCTTGTCGGCATCAATACCGATGGGGAACACTCCGACCTGCACCCTAGTACCGTAGGCGTCAATGCCAAGGGTGTCAGATGGGAAGCCGAGAATACGCGTGCAGCAGCTGAGGAAGTGGCGCGAGTAGCTGTACGACTGGAATCCCACGAGATTTGCGCCAAGGATGCCCTCGAGCACCTCTTTGCGGCGAGGCAGACATCGAAGAAACTCGCTGCTAGGAAACGGCGAGTGGAGGAAGAATGAGATGTACATATTCGGGGCACGCTGGCGTAGCATGCTAGGCAGTAACATGAGATAGTAATCGTGAACAATGACCACATCACCAGGCTTGTAGATCTCAATGATCTTGTTGGCAAACTTCTGATTCA